GCTACATACAATATTCAAAAGGTTTTTGAGCCTGCCGTTGCACATCAATATGTTTTCCCCTCTCTGCGTTCATTCTGCATTTCATATGTGCAATTACTGGCTTGTTACAGCACACTGGTTGAAAAGCTGGACAATAATTGTTGTGTTGGAAAAACAGCGATAAGAGTGTTAGAATGAAACAGAGGTGTTCAATATTGTTCACAAAATTAACTTTTCACACACAAAACTAACTACAAGAGTGTGGACCGCTGTGGTAGCTTGACAAATGGCTAATTTGCATCATCACAACATGATCTTCCTTCGGGGGAGTGAGCTGGCAGGATTTACTGCGCTCTATCACAATCAGCTACTCTCTCATCTCTGGCACTTATAGCTAGAGCAGCAGCAGAGCAGCCAAACTCTCTGGCTGTCTGTCAACAGAGGCGTTACATGAGAGTATTAACTTTTCGTGTCACGATGGTTTCACCCTTCCTGTCAATTACTATTTTAAAAATAAGAGGAATAATGAAAACGTGTTCAAATCTGACATTTAATTTACTGCAGGAAAAAAAACACATCTTTTGGCACCCTGTTGATTTTCCATCTGCGTTCGTCTACAGGGGCAAAATAAGTCACTGTTAAGTAAAGCGATGCCTCCGGATGAAGAATGTAGAGATCATTTCTGTATGTAACATCACTAGACTACGAGAACCCCAAGCAGACATGCATCCATACATTTTGTCCATTGCGTAATAATAAGCAATTTTCTGTTGTTTTATTTTTTACTCAAGAACTCAGCTTCTGTATCTCATGTTTCCAGAGTTGCAAAAGCACAAAACAAACAGAATCATAATGACAGCACTGCAAGCTGAGTTCACAAGAAAACAAGCTTTGTTATCTCTAGATAATCAGGAAAAATGACTCTGTTAAAATAAGGAAACCAGCTTTCTTACCTGAGATATAATAATAAGTCGAGATCTGAAGAAAACAACCGGAAATTTCTTGTTCTCATGGGCAGTTAAAGTAAATAAAATGTATGGATTCATGTCCATTTAGGGTTTCTGTACCGGACAGATTCTGATTCAACCAATTGTCATCACAACGATCTTCACACCCCACACTAACCTGCAGACCTTTGAGGGCAGAGCCTTCAATGTGGCAGCCTCCGGCTTTGGAACTCGCTCCCATTATATGGTAAATGGTAAAAGGACTTGTATACCCCACAGGTCACACCTACCCATTCACACAGTGATGGCAAAGGTTGCTGTATAAAGTGACCATCAAGAGTAATTAATTCCATTAACACACATTCATACGTGGCCAACGAAGCAGCCGGAGTAACTTGGGGTTAAGTGTCTTGCCCCAGGACATACTGTATCGGACATTTGGCTGCAGGAGCTGGGGATCGAATCTTCAACCTTCCAGTTGAGAGACGACTGACTCTACCAACAGAGCAACAACCATCCCCCAACATACATTTATCTATATGATATATACACCTGTTCAACTCAGCTTATGAAATCGCTTTTGTTCCACAAAAAATGAACAAAACAATTGTTGATTGCATCACAATTAGGTTTTTTAATTCTGGCATAAAATCTGATAGGCCAGTAAATTCTTCGTAATAAAAAAATAACCAGATGGCATGTCTTTTTACATACGAACCGTTCACCTCCATATGTGCAAAGTGAACAAATAAAAAATAAGAGATGACTCTACAGGAGTTGAAGGTGGAGAAGGAAATTGCTTGAAAACAAAATAAGTGGTGAGAACAGAAAAAATAATAAATCAAATGCAAGAAAAGCTCACACCTCTTGTGTAAAACCAAACAGCGAAAGAGAATCAGTTATGCAGCATTTTGTCTCAGACGTGGATCAACCAGAATGCAGCATTTCATGATGTTTGTTTCCTTTTTCTGACTGCTTCACACATCCACAAAAAACAAAAAAACGATTTTGCAAGTACACTTGATTGTAGCTGGGGGAGATGGGGATGGGGGTTGGTGGTAATTAATATATATGAGATCAAAGAATACATAGGGTGCCATATTAACAGTGAAGGCAATGTGGACATGCTTTAATCGGCAAAGGAATCAGACTGAGGGCTTTTCTTTGACTTGCAGTTGGTTTTAAGGGCTGATGTTTGGTTGAGAATGAAAGGCAACTTTGAAATCAGAAACAAGGATTAAATGAAAAATGCTTTCTGTCTTTGTCCTGTAATTATGTCGGATTACCAAAACATTAATATTTCATTGAGCAAGTGCTTCAACAGAGATGGTTTTTGGAGAATAATTTCAGCAAAAAGCAATAGATTTTCAAGTCTTACATGAGCGCTGAGAGAGGCTGTAAGTTTGCTCAAGGGGTGGTGACATAGGAGCACTCCATCTTGTTTCTCAACAGATGTCCATAGAGTGGCTGGACAGGAACCCGCCTAGGACATCACTGCAGCGGTTAAAGTATGTGTTAGCGAGAGGTTGAAGAGAACTCGTGAAAGTATAAGTGGTTGACCTTCTGCTGCCAATCTAGCAGAGGAGAAGTAAGTGCTTTGGTGTAAAGTTATACGCTTGTCATAACCAACTCAAGCTTTCTATATCATGAGGCTACATGTTCCCAGGGAAACTCTTGCTACATCTGCAGGAATTCATTCAGTTAGTTTTTTAATATTAAATGTAACGTGTTTTCATCGTTCACCGCCTCTGTCTGTCCCTTTTCACTATTATTTCCTCGCTAACATAAGGTTGTAAAGTGGTTTTACACTGATTACATGCTGGGTTAAGACTGGCACACATACTACAATTGGACAGCTGCATGCAATCAACAGCTACCATCTGTATCTGTAAACAGTGTGGTGCTCATGATGTATTTGTTAAATGCATTAGGTCATTGTGAGTCAGCAGACAGGTTCTGCCCACAGTGTGCACTGTGGTACACACAAGGCAACACAATTAAAAGATTCACAATGATGAATTAAAAGGAGGCAAACAGAGATGTTTTTTTCAGCCAAGCTGCAGCCAGCGTTTTATTATTCTTGTACTCACTTTATTTTATGCTAATAGGGGAGATGCTCTAAACTCACGTGCCACCACAACCTTACTACAGCACAGTCTGGGGGAAAGGGCTCAGCACTTGATGTCCCATCAATGCTTATTACATGGTTTGAATTGGGCAGCTAAATTATCCTGCATTTGTCAGCGCCTTTTGAAGCTCTTTTAACATTATGATCTCTGGAAATATTGACTGCAAGGAATACTCTGTAATAGGAATACAAACACACACAAACAAAAGGTACAGAAGCCGAAATCATTTCGTTGGCAATGCAATCTTAGATCCAACTCAAGGAGTACCATTTAATAGATGAGTCATGAAAAAGCGCCCCTTAGGCTGCCTTTAACTTGAAGAAAATGGGATGAAATGTCCTTCTGGAAATTATATGTCGCCAGGGAGAATTCTCACTTCACTCTCTAGTTACATACAGTACATACAACTGGACAAGAATGCTGAAGAAAAGCCCACTGATCCCTGCAAGAACTCGGCTCCTGCAACCAGAAGACCACAGAGCAGTGCTCTGGTCGAAGATCTGACTCCCGCTACCCTCCTCCTACATCTGCCACGTAGGAAACCTACCTGAATCTGTGATTTAATATTCAACAGAGTGAAGATCCAACCAACTTTGCAGTGATGTGGTTGCAAAGTTGTATATATCTGGTTGTATGTATTCCCATTCTTAGTTTTGATATTTTTAGTGCTTATATACTTTGTATTTAATATTATATTGTGTTTTTTGCTAATATTGTGTGTTGGATAACCTGCTGCTGTATACCGCCACAATTTCCCAGTTTGGGATCAATAAAGTAATTATATTCTCTTCTGTTATAGTCTATGATCACCAGGAGTTACCCCAAGTAAGAGCTTTGGTCTGGGCAGAAATAGTTTCAGAAATAGTTATGTTTCTTTTATAACCACTGATAATTATGCATCATTGTTGACGAGACGTCACGTTCTGTTTATTATGTGTTGTAAGCTGCTGCATTTGTTTTATTGTGATGAACCGCAGTGTTTGCCTATGTGTGTAATGCTATGCTACTTTACCTTCAGTCAACGGCTTTCACAAACAGAAATGACCAGTGTACCTGCCGTTGAATCAAAGTCCGGCCACTGGCTTTCTGGTGCAGAATGTGTAAGTAGCTAGTGTGTTAACAAACATCTCCGTAGGTTGATATTTTGCCTGTGTTGCGTTTACAGAAGGTGGGAAAAAATTCCAGCTGCAGTCTTTAATTAGGCTGTTGTATCACAAACATGACATCTTATGCTTTCCTGTTTCTGTTTACAGGTGTGTCTGTCATTTCATAAGCAGAAATGCATAGTTGGAAGTCTAATAATTTATTTTGATTTTAATTTTTTTTGTTAACATTTGATCTGCTTTTGTGATAGGCTATTTAAAATCCCCAGCGTAGTGGCAAAAACACATTTTGGAATAAATGACCTTCTAGACTCAGGCTTGGATGATTCACAATTGACTTAAAGACGTTATTCAAAAACAAAATTAAATGTACAATAGAGACATATCTGAAAAAAACGTTTCTAACCTGGTGACGCAAGAAACGGTGAGCAGCCTATCCAACAATTCAACAGCGCGTGTCAGGAATTTGATGCGCGAGGTGAGGGAGCATCATAAGCACACGGTGGCGTATAGCGCAAGGAAGATAAAGGCAGCGTTTACGCGCCCTTCAAAGCTGTGCCAAAGGGTTGCGCACAAGCTGAGGAGATGATTCAGGATCACACGTGAGGGTGAAGCACACTTTGCCTCCCCTCGCGCCTCTGTTGGAGCACAGATATCTCCAGTGTTTGCCTGACTTTTTGCTCTGCAGAAACAGAGATGGCACGGCACTCGGATCCGAGAACCTTTCTGAGTTTACAGGAGCAGGACCTGAATGGCTAAACCACGTGGAAATTTGGAATCTGATGAAGTACACTGCCATATGTTTCCTACTGCGCTTGGCAGCTCTTTTTTTTTTTTTTTGGACCAGAAGTTGTGATGAAAGTTTTTAAAAATGTGAGGCTCTTAGACATGACGCTTCGAGATTAGAGGGAATGAGGTTGCTTGGATGCGAATGAACGGATTGTGGATTTTCCTGATGGAGATGAAGACAGACCGACAAAGTGTGACCTTTTTTGTGTGGATATCATTCATAAACTTTTTCTTGTGCTGGACTTCGGTTGACGCACAGGTAAGGAAACATTAAATCCACTTTTAAATAGGAAAATTTCTATTATAAAGTAATACAACACCCGATTTCCCCCCTCGTGAAATAATTGATTCAACTTAATATTATCTACAGTATCACTATGCACACAACAGTGCAACAATCTGACAAGACCAGTGATATTTCATAAATGTGCTATGAAGTGTTTGTCTCCTTACACTTGTCATAATTGTATAAATACTTAATTCTTAGATTTTAAACGATTCCCTTTTGGGTATTGGCAGTGATGAGCTTCACGTGAAAAAGTATAACACAAGGCTTGGCTGAGTAAAATTCTAAAAAATGAATCACTAGGCTGTCAGGGTTATTATTCTGGTTATTATGTGAATGGCTGAGTAGTACAAGAGCGTAAGAAGCTTTATATTTGCTGTTGTGTCATTTTGAATTGTCAGCAGGAAAGCCTCATGCATTATCAGCACCACGGACAGCTCTTTCAGCAAAAACCCCCCACAAAAGGTACAAATAGAAGGGACACAGTGTGAACAAAATCTGCAATTAATAGCAACATGATGATGCCATGAAATTGTAAATATGGTAGTTGAATAATGACCTGTGTGACAATAGCTCCAGCTGACACTATGGCTGAATCAATACATCGTTTAAAGCCAAACATCTGAGTCAGTAAGATTGAGGGAAATGGATGAAGGCAGATTACACAAACATGAGAGTGATGTGGATTTGTATATTATATCATCTTAAAGACCCTCCCCATCAAAAATCTTTTTGGTGGGTATACGAAATTGAAACCTAATTTCTCATATGCAGAAGTTAGCTACAACTCTAAAGTATGACATTGTTAACAATCATATAGGTCTACATCTTCTGTATGCGAATGTACTTTCATGTTTTGAACATTTACCGGTGTGGGAAAAAAAAATGAACTTCCTCTAGACGGAGGAAGAAACGTTTTGATCATTCTTGATCTTTCTTCAGCACAACTTTACAAGGATGCCACTTTCCTCTTCTGCTGTGTGCATAGATCATTAGTTCCCTGTATGAACAAGGATCTGGGCTCTGGCTTGTTTCTTGCATTTAAGACTTTCTGAGCTGATCAGTGGCATTTTTTGATCTGATGCACAATATTATGTTTTCCTTCATGAGAAGGAAAAAAGTATTTTTTTGATTTTTTTTTTTACTTTTAACTAAGTTTTGATTAAGCTGGTATCAGGTTGACAGCTGACAAATAGTGAAATTGAGTCAGGCTGCATAGGGCAGTGGGCTGCTGGTGGATGATTTCACTTTGGTATTTGTGCATGGTGTTAGAAGAGGACGGTACTGGGTGAAGGTGTAGCAGTATGCTGCAGGCGGAAGGTCTTGGCTAATTGCAGTCTCAGAATTAATTCAGCTATCACTGTCTGCCAAAGCTGATGCCGATATATTCCTCGGGAACAATGGACAATTTATCTATAATTCTGGTGTAGCGAGCAGTTGGTGATTCACAACTTCCAGCCAATACTTCCTTTTCTGTGTGCTGCATAGTTCGCTGTGCCCTCACAGATATGTTTGCAAAGTAAATGTCATATTTTCTTGGTTTATTGCATCCACTGAAGATGTGCCCTCTCTCTTTGTATTTACAATATAACCTGCCGACGACAACACGCGTTCACGAGTGCACAGAGGTTCATGGCACTGCGTGATAAAACGTTAACAATAATTATCGCTATTTAATTTTTCTCATAATAAATATAACAAACGTTCGATAAAAGTTTGATGCAATTAAATTTGAAATTACACCACCCGAGCATCGTGAGACATATCGCCCAGCCCTACCTGGCAAACACAAATATTTGTGAGCCAGCTTGGAGAGTTGTCAAGTTTTGCTGAGAGCGCCCTCTGCTGGATCAAACTGTATACTACTTCAGATGGCCTGATATGCCGATAGACTGTATATTTTGAATGTGAACGGCTCTTTACTGTTTCAATGTGAACTTCATCTCCTAGGTTCAATTGAATGATTGTTTTTTATTAAAAAATGTTGACAGCCTTATGATACAGATTTGTAAAAGGTTAAAAGCTAGCTTGTTTCTTAACTGGAATTCAGATCAATTATATTTTATGCGTTCAAGAAGGTCAGGACTCCTATCGCTGATCGGCTTTCATGACAAAGCATCGAAGAGATTGTTCGCTCAAGTTGAAATTTAAAATGTGGTAGCTGCACTTGCATGCAGATAGGGCTGCAACCATGAATCGAATAAGCTGTGAATAAAAGTGTTGGCAACAAATTGAATTAGCGATTCGTCGTCATGCTCAATTATTATGTCACTCGCTGTTGCATGGAGCTACATACATTAGACAGACAGAAGAGTGGAGTGCTGTTTAGCAATTGGTCAGCTTAAGCTGTGTTTGAAGGTTCTAATAATTTAATGACTGACGGAAATTATTTGCATAAATGTTCATCAATGACCATTTTCCCTTGATGGAAGACGAGACGTTGACGAGCCTTAAAAAAAATCTTCAATCAACAAAAGTCTGACGAAATGTAATTTTGTTAAAGGTTATGAGAACAGGCGGAAAATGTTAGTGGTGGGCTGTCAGACTTTGAAAATTCAAGTTATTTCCCCCATTGTTTGTCTTATATGTCAGTCAAAATGCAAGCAGTTGAAAAGAGAGATGTATGTGCGCTGCAGGCAGAGAGCAGGAGGACCAATTGTGTGTGTGTTAGTGTGTTATTTTGTGTTTGCATTTATGTGTGCAGCAGTGAATACTGTGAGAGCAACAGAGAGAAGCAACAATGAGCCTTAGCTTACGATAGCCTGCCCATGCAGTGAGGGACTAAGGTCGGTATGGGAATATCAATAAAGGCTAAGTCTTCCCTTTACAAAGATGTATACAGCAAAAAGCTGTTAAATTTGTAGCTCTGCTGTGAAAAAATTAATGCCAGGGGTAATCGTTAAAGAACCCCTGCCACACTGTGAAAGTACCTGACTATAAGTAAAGTCACATGACATGCAGTTCAGGGTTGAAAATGGAAATTGAAAGGTTCTTAGTACATTTTATCTAGGACTCTTGTGGTGCAATAGAAATGTCAAGGTTTTTAAGTGTCCTTTAACACACTGAGTCTGAAGCCTGCAGCTGTAACAACTGTTCATTATAAAACTGCACAAACAACAGCTGCTCTGTGCAAACTCTTTTTTCTTAAGTGGCCTGATGAGGATGTGGATTGGAGAATGTCTGTGACTGACTCAGCTTTTGTTATTTCATGTGTGCTCTCCTTATTCGAGAAGTAAACTTTTCTGTATTTGATATTCTAATGTAAATAATGTTAATTGGTTGGTATACTCAGTGACAGCTGGTGCATTGTTCTCCTGTGTGGGCAGAATTCCTCAAAGATGGACCGTGATGTATATTTTAGTTTGTTAGCTTGATACAAACACACACATGAAAAAGGCATTAACTTGCCAGAACAACCCCCCCCCGGCCTCCCCACTGGATTGTTGATGGACGGTCTGCCTCCCCCCACCCCCTTGCTCCCTATCCCTCTTCCTGCATCGTATCCCATCTCTCCCCCTATCCCTTTCCAACCCCGGCGCAGTCTAGGCCTGTGAAGGCTGTTTCGTCATGAGCCGGGGATCCGGCCGAAGATTTCTGCCTTTTAATAAGGCAGTTTTTTCTTACCACTGTAACTTTTGCTGCTTTGCTAAAGTGCTCATGATGGATAGGCCGGGTCTTTGTAATATAGCAATAAGTAAGGTCTTTTACCTGCTTTTTGTAACATAACAATGAGTAAGGTCTTTTTTACCTGCTCTTTTGTAATGTTAACAGACAAAGAGTAAGGTATTTTACCTGCTTTTTGTAAAGTGTCTTGAGATAACACTTGTTATGAGTTGACGCTATACAAAATAAATTGAATTGAATTGAATTGAATTAACTGGCTAACAGAATTAGCATTGCGCTAAGGTAACCTTTGGAAAAGATTCATTTTACATCACATCCGAAACAAACAACACCTTATGCACTGACAGGCATATCTTTCAAAAACTGCAGACTCATGCTAGTCTGGTCTTCTGCTCTGGTCTACTTTAATAAATGTTCCACGCTCTGATACCATGATGCTTGACTCGTTCTTTATGTTTCAATTTATGGGACATACCTGCACTGCTGCCACCTTGTGGGTAGTGGTGTGTATTGCGTTCAACAGTACATTTTTCCTCCTCAATGCTCCTATCTCTTTAGAATGGAAGTGGAGCAATACAAAGCTCTTTATCTCTCTTTCATACTCACTGGTGGGCACACACACACACACACACACACACACACACACACACACACACACACACACACACACACACACACACACACACACACACACACACACACACACACACACACACACACACACACAGAGCAGTGTACTGTGCTATTGGACAGATGTGACCAGATGATGAGAAGAGAACGAAGTGCATAGTCTTCCAAAAAGTATGAATGGGTGCTACAAAGCATGCGCAGCAGGAGCAGTGTAGGAATGTAGGCACTTTTGGTTATTGGAAATGTTGACATTGAACATGGCATGCAGGTTACAATGAACTGTCTGTGTTGTTTTGAATGATTTTTAGACTGACAGCTGCTGGAATTAAAATCTTAATTGGTCCGTTGTTTCATCATGTATGGGGACATGGAGCTGTCATAAATGATGCCTTGTCAAATATAGCACAGTTTTTCCTTTCTTTTTGCTTCTGTTTCAGGACACTGTGTCTGCTGTTTTTGAGTTTATATTTGTCTTTCATCATCACTTCGCTGCCCTGCTAGTTTTTTTTTTAATCTACCCAACCTTTTTTGCTTCATCTGATCGACATTGAGCAAGTTATTTGTTCATTTCAATGTTTCGAAAAATCAGCATGTTGTTTTTTTCAATGATATATCCATGGCACCGATTGTGCCGACATAGCAGGTGTTATCAACATCTCCCCCCCACCCTCGGTTCCCACATGTTGCCTCTCTTATCTCGCTTTTTCATACAGCGTGGGCTGACTACAGGTCCTCAGGCCTGTTAAAGCCAGGGTCTTAATTATCATTTCAGCAGAGGTTGGAAGAAAAGTATGCTCCTTAAACTCAACAGGCTCTTGGTTCATTGGTGAACATGAAAATATGAAAAAACACATGACCTAAATTAGCACCTGAACTACTCCTTTGAAGTCACATATTGAAGTCCTCAGGCAACTCAATATTTGCATTTGAATAGATCCTAGATCTCTCAGCGAGGGCAAGAAACACATCTCTACATTTGAATGCAAAGTATCTTCAAGTGTTATTTGTGTGCATGAAGGTTTCCTTTTTTTTAAAGATGTGTTTTTGGGCTTTATTGTAGAGCTAGGAGGACAATGGAGAGAGTCAGAAATCTGGGAGAGAGAGAGAGAGTGGGGAATGAAATGTGGGAAATAACTAATTAACATTTAAACGGTTGCTGATTTTACTTAACGTTTTGTGTTTTTCTAAACGTTAATTGTTTAAACGTTCAGAAGTCACGCCTCTAATCGGCGCCCTGAAGGTTTTCTTTAAAGTATAAACATTAACTCCTATTCTTTACTACAACAACTACATCATTTCAAAAAATGCTTTACTTTGGACAAAGGGCTAAGGAGGGGTCATGGTAAGAGAATGGATGTGTGAGGCAGGAACTGCTCTGTGTCACTGGTACAAGAGTGGAAACATATATTATATTTCCTGAAAAGGATGTGTACTGCTTGACTCTTAACCTTACTGTTTATATATCATGTAACATTTCAGAAAGATTATACTTAAGTTCATTTGATGGACACTGTTTTTCAAGAATGTTGCATCATTTTAAAAGCTGCCTGAAAAACAATATAAAGCTTTAGAATAAGTGATGAGCGGATTGCAAATTTTACTTGGCTGATGAGGATTTCCAATTTTTTTTTTCGACATGCTGATTCCAATAATATATAATATTAATTTTAAATATAAGTCAAATAATGGACCCATATTCTGAAAATGAAAACGCATTTCTGTTACTGCATTTTCATTTTAAAATTAGCAATGTCATTTGAATTATGATACAAATTTAGCAGGGCATTTTTTGAAAATGAAAAAGCAAATGTCATTTTCTTCTTGATTTTAATTTAGTCAAAGAATGTGCATTTTTGAAGTTGAAAACTAAAATGCAATCATCATTTTATTTTTGAGTCAAATAATACACCCATATTCTGAACGTTAAAAAGCATTTCTGTTAATGCATTTTCATTTTCAAATTAGCTTTATCATTTGAATTCTGATCACTTCTCGCTTCTATATAGAGCTTGGTCATATGTGCTAACAATAGCCTGCTAACACAACAATGCAGGCCACAGGTGATTGCAGCTCGAGCAAAGGACAATTTAGTTCGCCACTTGCGCTTCTTGGTGCTTAATTGTGTGTTTAATTGATAACTCCTTTGTGCTTGTGATTGGAGAGGGATTGGAGGTGTGCCGCTGGAGGCTTCAGAACAGTGGAGGTGTCGCCAAACAGCAATTTGTTTTGGTTTAATGCTTGAGCTCAAGATTGACATCTACTGGATCAAAAGGTTACACATTCCTCCTTTGAAGAAACTATAGCTTGACTTTATTTCATCTCTGTAATTAAAACTGTTCTTCAGACTCATTTCTCATCCTTTCTTCCTCTTCTCTTATCTTACTACACAGGCCCGTCTCATAATAATTCAGCCCATCAGTTTGTCCAGTAGCTCATTTTTTAACTGTGGTTGCTACCAGGATTTTGTTACCCAGCAGCATTATTTCTATTTGATTTAGTTTGGTTTGATTCTGGGGCCTTGAGTGTGTTACGTGTCTGATCATCATGTGTGGTTTGCTCAAAGATAGTAGCTTATGAAGTATCAGCATTCTGTCCTGTGCTTCAAGGAATTATTGATTTTTTTCAGTATTAGAGCTTCCCTGATATCTATAACTTCTGGGCATAGACTCAGTGTCAGTCCTGCTGTAACTGCTCCAGTCAAAAAGCTTCAGTAGAAACTAGAGATAGGAAGAGCAATTATTAACTAATTATTGAACTAAGGTAAACTGAAGACATTTAAAGACACTCATTCTCTTTTTCTTATTGAGCATGTTCATCATGAATATGTTAAGTCTGTGAAGGTAACTCAGTTTGCCTCATAGATGTGCTCAACAAAGACTTTTTACAAATGTTCATAGAATGATATAACAGATCAGGGGATGGCATGTGTTCTCTTCTCTGATTTTCCAACACAACATAGACTCTTGTGTTCTGGATTCATGCTTAAACCATAGTCTGTTTTTAAGGATGGACAGCGGCATGACTCATTTTAAGTGAAGCCAAAAGATTAAGAGCTCCCCCTTCTCATGACTGCACTATTGGTCACGAACCCCGCCTCCATGTTAACAGATGGGACATGGCTCAAAGTGCACAATCAAGATACACCACCGTCGATTTAATATTTTTCTGCAGTTGCTTGCAGTGGATGTTATTTTGCACTCGTTGGGTCTAATTCACTGAACCACTGCTCTGCTTCTGCACCTGCTTAACCTGTGCAAATGAATCAAAAAGACACTGTGTAATTCTCACCACACGCAGGCTGCATAGTGAACAGTGTCTCGGTGCTGGTTGTGCATTGTGCCTTTAAGCAGTAATTTGGGGAATAACTGTCCCCTTTCTGTGCAAATCTGCCTCATTGCAAAAGGTGTCTAATTCGTTAACAGCCACACTCAGTTAAGAGTGGAGCCAAAAACTGTCTGCTGGGAATAGGTGGTAACTTCGCTGCAGTAATTACTGTATAAGAGAAGTCATGCAAATCTATCCAGTGCTCAGGAAAACAATTCCATGTCTGTATTACTGATATAAAGTATCAGTGAGTCTGTAAGTATTACTTTGACATTTCTATGATATATATAATAAAGGGTTAAATCAGTCCAGGGTAGTCAGTGACTCATCCACAATATGTGGAGACAGTCTGGAGCCTTGACACTCAAGAACGTGATGTTATTTTTTCTTTTTCTGAGCTGCCCTTGCATGTATTTGCTGTATTCAAAGAGGAAGCTTTTTTTTGTCACTTAGATTTTTTATTAATTTTTCCAATGAAAAAACACCAACAGCTGGCTGATAACATTAATAACGGCTGATATTTTCAGATGGTATCTGTCACCTCCTGATATTCTGTCTGCATTCTGAAGAGTACATGGGTAAATGGACTTGAGCTTGTAAAGCGCTTTTCTAGGCTTCCAATGACTCAAAGTGCTTTTACACTGTAGGTCACACCTATAAATTCTCCCACTCACACACTGAAGGCAGAGATTTCAATGTAAAGTGACCATCAGAAGTATCTAATCCCATTCATACGCCACTGATGAAGCAGCGGGAGCAACTTGGGGTTAAGTTTCTTGCCTAAGGACACATTAGACATTTAGCTGCAGGAGCTGGGGATCAAACCCTCAACCTTCTGGTTATGAGAAGACTGACTCTACCAACTGAGCCACAGTCCCTTATAGACAAACAATATTGTTGATGTAGATTCTAAACAAGATAGAACAGAACTGACCCCTGTGGAAATGCTTGTTATTGACAAAAACTCAGATTTAATAGTTCCAGCCTTACACACTGTAGTAATCTATCAGACAGGCAGTTCCATTTACAAGTGCTGGAAGACAAAACCATTTTTACACAGTGTCTGAATGACAAGACCATGATCTACGGTATCAAACGCTTTAGACAACAAGTGACAGCAGATACTATGCATAGGTCTGAAGCCTGACTGATGAGGGTTTAAGACAAAAACATTTGAGAGAAATATTTGTAGTTGACCTTTTACCAGTGATTCCAGGTTTTTTGACGGACAGGTCAAGTTGGATATTGGTCGGTAATTATTAGGATCACTATTGTCCCCACCCTTATATAAAGGAGTCCAGATTTCCAGAAAGTAGACTAGAACCGATGTAAAGATTAAATGTGTGTGATTTGCTCCGTGATTAATGGAGAAGAAAACTTCAAAAATAATGGGTCCAAAAAGTTGAGCAAAGTATTTGAACCTAACAAACATTAATAGTTGGTAAAGTGAATCAAAGATGAACAATAGAAATAATCCCAAGGTATTAATGAGTGAGTGGAAAATTAATGCATAAAATATGAAATCCATGGACATATCATTAGTCCAAATTAAAGTCTTTGATTGCTCTGGGCTTGAAGAACAGAAAAATATTGCAGTAATCTCCTCTCTGTGCTGTGCAGAGCTGTACTCTGTGCTCCCTTCCTGACTGAGCTCTATTATTTCCACATGTAGATAATGAGTTGAGTCCCTGCTGCCCCAGAATTCCCCCAGAATGATTTAACACCTGATTCTCATGAGAATAGTGTGATGTCAAAGTAAAATTTAAAGACTTGACCGTTGCGTTTTGTTTGTGAATTAAAAAGTGTGACAAGTTGTGCTTTGTTACACCCCTGTTCTTGTTTGTTGTTTTTCACAGATGGGGTCTGATGGTCCTCTCTCTGCACAGGAGCAGATGTACATCCTTTATGAAATACAACTGCAATGCTACCAGAACCTCTCCAACATTGAACCAGGGTCCACAGGTAAAAAGCTTGTGTTTGTGAAATGCTACACAATCCTGCTGTTTTCTCTCTAATCTGCGTTTCTTCCATTTTTCCATGGATTGATTGTCATTCAGAGTGCTGAAATAGCATAAAATGTACAATTTCTTTTATATGATATTAATGATAGGACTTGTTGGAACTTAAGGTTATGGTTCAGTTACTTTGATTTGTTTAACAGCCCATTAAGTAAGAGCACTGATCGTTTAAATAAAGGCAACTTCATTACATCTGGTATGAATAATTTCAATTTGAACGAAAACAAATAAATATTAAGAGGAGGGGCCTTAAGAATGATGTAAACAAGTTTTCTTAGCCAACTAAAACACTTTCTTGGTTAAAATGGGCTGTTTAATGCTGGAGTATGAAGTTATCCAAACGGTATTAAAGGACAGAGTTGTTAATGTCAGCTTTAACTCTGATGGCGTCCAACTACGGAGTGAAAAAATAAACAGGGTGTCAAATTTTTGAGTAGAATTTGATTTGTTATTTTGCGACTCAGTCACACCTCTCCACAAACCTCAAGGTCACATACAAATGTTGGTGTTTGATGTTTTATTTTTTTTCTAAATCTCACAGGCCTGCAATCCCTCTAAAATCCCACAAAATGCATCCAACAAAAACTACAGTGAAGTTGTGACAGAATCCAGTAACACTTGAAACAGTTCAATTCATGAAGCCTCACAAATGAAATAGAATATTCTTCTGCCAAGACAGTTTGTACTTCTGCCGCTCTCTAAGTCGGTGAAATTGACTGAGTGAGTCCGAGCACGTTTCTGAGTTCATAGGGTAAGTGCATGGTTAACCAACACGAGTGTGAAGTGCTGTTTCTCGTTATTGTTGGAAAAAGTTAAAAAGTAACTGGAAAAAAAGGCTCCAAACTTTTCTCGGTCCTCTTCTTATTTTAAAAAGAAAATGTTTACAGCAGCCTGTGCTGTGTTCATCATTGCAACAGACAGTTCAAGCTTATGAAACCACCAGTGTGCAATTATGTCCCACACACCCTGAGGGGAAAACAAATCATCGCACTTGTCTGACTTTGTATTGCTCGCAGGTGCTGCCTTGCCAATTCAGTCAAATAGCAAACAATAGAGAAATGTGTGGAAAGATGCACTTTCAACTTTTCAATTTCAATATTTGAAGTAACACTCAAAGTCCAACTTTAGTCTCCAATTTATGAAAGTACTACTTTTATCTGCTCATCCTGCTACAGCACCCAGTTTACAAAAACGTCTAGTTCTGAAAACGTGGGTTTACTAGTTCTAGATGTAGACAGTTCTCTCTGATCAGGTCAGTCTATGGGGACATACACTGTGGACCTAACTCACCCACTGGCAGACTGTCAGGTGTTCTAGTTTAGTTATATTTAGAATGCATTTTTGGTAGTTCTTTATGTTTTATGTTTATTTTGTCTTTTCCTTCCATGTGTTTCTGAATGTTCCTGTGTGTGTATTTAGTGTTTCCTGTTTTATTTTGAAATTCTTGCCTTTTTGTGTCATCTCTTGACCAACCTCTTGCCCTTGATATGTTATATTCCTGAATCTAGTCTTAAGTGTTTCCTGTTTCATTTTGTAGTTTTTTATGTCTAGTTTCATTTCCTGCCACTCCCCAGTTCTCCTGACCCGAGCATTTCTATAAAACCTTACACTTTGCAGCCCTTGTGCCCACAGGTGTTATTCTCCAGGAGCCCTGTCAGTAATTACCTGTATTTACATGTATTGCTTTACACTGTCACATGTCACCTGCCTGTTATCATTTTTATGTTGTGACTTTTCTATTGAAGATATATATATATATCTATATTCTTTTTTTTTTTAATTTCTTTTTGTTATTCTTTTTTTTATTTTATCGTGGACAGGAAAGCACTTTGGTGAACACCGCTGTAGTTAAAATCTGCTCTATAAATAAAGCTGGACTGAATTGAATACGGGTTAAAAGTATTTTCTTGACATTTTTAAAGAAAGCGTACATGCTTTGTTTTGGCATTTGAGCACAATTGAACTGTCTTTTGAGCTGAGATGTCTTTGAGAGTAAAGAGCCACTTGCAGGTTGGAAGATTCTTTCCTTCTTCACTCTAGCAGCAGAAAGAGAATCATGACATTTTAAGAGTAAACATTACATAATCTATTTCTCTTACATTATTCATTACATGTTATTATACAGGAGATGATTAAAAGTCACAGTTAAACAGGCTCAGTTAAAACTGGTTTACAGCAGGTTCCTCTTCTGCAGCACACAAAAGCAAAAATCATATCAGTCAAAGGACACAACCAACAATGACTCCCAAATTTCCACGTACTCCGTGCACCCTGTGGTCCGTCTATAGCTGTAAAGAAATAACAGTCTGACATTCACATTGGAGCCTTAATTAGCCGGCTGTGTGGAGATGAGAAAGTCAGTAGAGTTGGAGCTCTTATTTCACACGTACCTTTTAGCTTTTCAGCTGAGTTGAGCACTATGACAGCACATCCTATTACTAGGTCTTTACTTTAACAACCTGGCCTTCAAAGTTGTAACTTGCTGGCCTTTGCAAAACATGGTCATAGAAGTAGTTTTTTTCTTTATTCTTGGTTAATTGTATAAACAATACTGTTTATCAGCATAAGTCAAAACACATATTTGCTTTCTAACTAGAGGTGAATGTCAGGGGTTGTTATGGCACAATTAAAATGAAGATGGTAGGCAATGTGATAACAAATGAATTTTACATTAACATACTGATTAGAAATCATTTGTGTACTAACACACTTGACATTCAGTAAATTGCATCATTTTAAGTTCATCAGCAACCGGATTTAAAGTGAGAAAAGTTGGCGTACATACATTTTTATTTATTTTTTTTATTTACATTTATTTAACCAGGAGAACCTCATTGAGTTTAAGAACTTCATTTGCAAGAGTGTCCTGGCCAAGAGGGGCAGCAGCACAACAAAGAGTTACAGACATAAAACACAGAGGTCGATCAGTCCTAAAGACATTATAACCTTCAATACTAATGTCTTTGTCCATAACCGATTTACTCAACCATGATTCAGATAAAACAATAACATCTGCATCAGTTGAATGTGCCCAAATACGCATCATATCAAATTTAGAGATTAAACTGCGCACATTCAAATGAATAAAACCGAGTCCAGTCCGTGCTCAGCAGGAGAATAAAATCCTGGGGCTCCCTCCATATTACAACTTGTAATATCAGCAGGCCCAGGATTAGGCTGTACATTTCCGTAAATCAACAGTAACATGAAGATCAATATTTTCCGTTTTGTCCGCCTGTAAGGCACCTCCAGTTGTGAGCTTGTGGTCTCAAATTGCAAAGAAGAGTGAACAGACCTTAGTCAATGACACTAAAGCTGAAGTATCACCATGTCTCCTGATCCTGACATCTTCTCACTGTTCTTCTTCTCTCAGTGGATGACATCTGCCCTCCTGACTGGGATGGTCTTATTTGTTGGCCCCACGGCACCCCTGGACTGGTTACCAAGGTTCCCTGCCCTTCATACATCTATGACTTCAACCACAAAGGTTAAAGGCCAAAAGTTCTTTGCACATGCACAGTGAATAGCATTGAGACCTAGAGGACAGAAACCTGACAGATAAAATGGAGGGATGAAATTTAGCCTGACTTTGCAATTTTTTTCTATTTTCAGTAATATTTACTTTAACAATTCTTAATAAATGGTACACACGGTTTGAAAAATTATACATACTTATGTTTAAGTGGAAGATGTGAGGAGTTACAACGGAAGGCAGCTGGACTTCCTGCACCAACACTTTTTTCAGATATTTTGAGCCGTCATAGAAGAGGCACAGGTGATGATAATAACATTAATGATGGCTGTTCAAGAGTCCCAGTAAGACAGTGAGCCAGCATGCACTGTTAACTATTGGATGGATGGATAACAATATCCATCCATCCATAAAATGAACTATTGCAAGCTGTAGGAGGAGATGACATTTATAGTATATCATGGGGCCAATAATCATTGTCATGCAAGACAGCAGCTTCATCCTCGCCAGTGTGTTCTTTTCCACTGGTTTTTTGATACGGTGTCAAGCTCAGTAGCATTAATGTAAAAGCTAAACCTGTCATCATAAGGTCAGACTATTTTGAGCCCTATCTTTATCCTGAAACCCTCCACCCCTGTTCGAGCTGTCATCTGTGAGAAAGATTTGTTAAAATGATAGAAAGTGGGCTTTACCCAATCCTTAAAGCTAGAGTTCTTTACAGCTTGTAAACACAACATTCAAATTGGGCCCCTCCTCCTAGGCTCATCGATACAAGAAGCACACGCATACTGCAGGACTTTGGGTGTCTTTTCTACTTGTACCTACACTGCAAGCTACCTGAGAATATTACATTACACCGATAATTTAACAAGCCAACACAAGCTGATGTTTTGCAACTGCTTGTCCAACAGAAAGCAGTCAACTCCACATCAGTGCCTGAAAGCCAACTCAAGGTTCACCTTTTTTTTTTGCATCGAGCTCCATCCATGTGGCATTACATCTCACTATGATTAGTTTTTCTCTTTTTTGCCGATGGCTGGATGACTTTCAGCAATTGTGTCTGAATAATTCTACGTGGGATGGGTCATGTAAATGACGAAACGAAAACAAATTCATTCTTATTTCAATATTATTTGACCACTTATAAAACCTATGACAGTACAGTTGTTTTATTTTTTTTCTGCTTGCTGGCCTTTCAGCTCAATCATTGGTTAGTCTGAAGAGACACAATGCATTGTGGGGGGATTGAGTATGATGAGTGAGCTCATGCATCATTCATTACAATTATGCTCAATCTGTAAATCTGGGCATTTCCTGCATAGACAAAATGACATACTATTAATAAGAAATGCACTACATACTCAATGAGATGTCATACTAAGTATAATTACTGGTATGCAGTTTCTGACATGGCCAGGGGGACATCAATCAAGTGTTCTCTAATGCACACTCACACAGTCCTGAGGAGAGGTCTAGTTAGCCTAAATAATTATAGTAACCTGTGCTTGCTAACCAGGACTGCAGGGCCGAGAGTTTCACCTTTTCATTTCTGTGTGTTGTAAACGTCTTGAATCATGTCAAAGTGTGTTGTTACAGGTCATGCTTACAGGAAGTGTGACGTCAACGGTTCCTGGGTGTTTGTGGACCGTTGGAACAAAACATGGACCAACTACTCAGAGTGTCTGCGCTTCCTGCAGCCCAGCGGTGAGGAAGGGAGAGTAAGTATGACTTGCTTGCTTGTCAAATGTATTTCACATACTTTTTTTGTTATATGGATAGATATGCAGCCACAGATTCTTCGCATATGTAGCAGTCAAAGCTGTTAATATCATCAGACATTAATTAATGTGGAGTCTACGAACAATACAGAAATTATTTTAAGGACATATTTTGCAAAGTTGGTCAGTGTAGGACAGATTCAAATTCACATCAGATAATCTCACCCTTTAAGCGTACTGGTCAGTGCACAGCTGTTCAAAAGCAGTTTTCTGCCAAATGCATGGGTTTTGATGAAATGGTTTCATATCAGCCTCTTTAGAGGACATTAGCAAGTCATTCCATACGCTGCCACCCACTAGCCCGCTGTAGTGATTCAACCAAACATTTTTGTTGCAGTTCAGACGGAAACTTAGGAACAAAATCCATCCATCCATTATCTTTACCGCTTTTCCTGTTCGGGGTAACAGAGACTGTTTGCCAAACCTAAAATCCCCACTTGGGAATGAATATTACAATAAAATTGTTTCTAGTACTACACAGGGGTGCAGTGATTAGCACTGTTGCCTCACTGCAAGTAGGTTCCTGGATCAAATCCCTGTCTGACAGAAGTCTTTCAGTGTGGAGTTTGTTACAGGGCTGACATATAGAGGCTGCCATATAGAAACACACTCACACTGTGGGAGGATGCTGGAGTACTTGGAACCCATGCATGCATGGGGAAAACATGCTAGCGAACCAGGAACCTCCTCATTGTTAGGCAACAGCACTAAACACTGCACCACCCTACAGCCCTAGTATTGCTGAGTGGTGATTTATGGTTTTGGGAAAATAATGATTGATCACCTGTCCACTAAACTGGACATCATGCATTGCTGGCTATATACTCTACTGCAATTTAAAGTAATTCTGAGACTGTGCTAATCCTGAAAATATTTGATGCGGAGTACTTTTTTCAGTAATTTAAAATGTTTTTTTGATTTTGTTTTTTTTACCAGAAATCAGTAAATTGCCAGTTCTGTTTTTAACATAAACAATATTGTGAGTTATTAAGTAGGTTTTAATCAATGTGTTTCATATGTGTTTCTATGGGAAGAGCTCAAGTGAAATTCAAACTCAAGTCCTCCATCAATATTTGCTCTCCCATGAAGTGTCTGCTGCTGTGCTGTTCTGGCAGCCTCCAGGCAAAATCGATGGAGGTAGTTTGAAGCCCAATCAAGCGTTTTTTGTTCCCTGTTTAAGGATGGATGGAAAAACCTTTATAACTCAAAATGAAAAAAATCAAAAATGATTCTGTCCAGCCCATGGGATATGCGATAAACTTCATGATGTCCACTCTAGTGGATACTTCTCTACCTTCTTCAAAATTATGAATAAAGGAAAAAAAGCCAGTCCTAATATGTAAAAAAGATCTGGTCTATATACTTGTTTTGCTCACTAATCCTGATTATGAAACAATGTGAGCTCCTGACAGTTCCTTGCCTCTTGAGTTGAAGAGTGACCTTCCCCTCAGACATTTTTATTTCTTAATTTTCACATCTACAGCAAAGTAATCCAAGCCTTGCAGTGTTAGACAGGAAAAAAACTAGACACAATTCAAATAAATGTTCATAATTTTTTATTTTTTATTTATTTCCTACCTCTTAAATCATTTCCCAATACCTACCATTCACTGCCCTGAGGAACAGAACTTTTTTTCTCTTAAGTAGTTTTATTCAGAAAGAAAACAATTAAACCACACTCACTGAACTCAACTTAATCCCCTTATAATATTCAACCCACTCATGTTAACACGCACACTGTACTGCTTGAGGGACCTTTTGTCATCTGCTCTGTTTAAATAAAATAAAAAGATTGCTAGTGATGGAGCTCTTGTAAGCTATTTGCATCTACATTTGGACTTAGAAGCTTCAGAAGGACTTAGGAGCTTAGGGGTGATACTTTCTATCTTACTCAAGATACATTAGTTGAACTACAGGCCATTATTACATTCTATATTATTCTGTGATTTCTATTATGAGTATGTGAGGGCTGATGGCAGAACAGCTTCTTCAATCTGCAACTATACTGACATTATTATTAGTTGCATATGCACCACTGAGATCCATAATAATAACAGGGCTTTTATGAATTTATATCTTTCATTCATAATGGCCATTAGCCACATAATTCGGTGTTATGTATGTTTAAATCTGTATATATTTTTTCAAAAATTTATGAAATCACTCAAGCTTGTTGATGCTTTGGTTTTAAGTAGGGCCTGACCCATTTGTGAGTTTTTGGGCCGATACCAATATCGATATTAGTGAGAGAAAAAAAAATCGAATACGATATATCGGCCAGTCGCTCTTAGATCTGTAAAGATAGATAGATATCTATAAACACATTAATTGGGTTGATCCCTCAAATTTAGTTTTCAAATAGTTAAAGTAAAGATATGTACTAATGACAAGATGGTCACTCAACTGGAAAGTAACTGCACATTTACGTGCATCACTGCTTGACACTCTGAAGGATGATAATACTTGTTGTAATCAATAGAGCGCCCTCTGCTGGTGATAAACAGAAAGAAAACTGCTATTGTTATACAATGCTACTTACATGAAATGCTATTTGACTGGTGAGTAAATCTAGTAATATCGGTACATATTTGCAATACAATTATCCTATACCGATTGTCACTTGATATGCTAATATTATCAGCTGGCTGATTTATCGGTCGGACTCTAGTTTAAAGATTTATTTTACCGTCAGCATTTATTTGTCCAGGACCAGAAGGTGGATTGCTAGGTACAGTAACTTTCTCCCTTAAAAATCATTGCGCTTCTCTGAGAGACGCAATAACCACTGGCATCTTTTTATCTATGAAGCCCTTACCGGAAAGCTTCCATCCACCTCCTTGTTACATCTGAACCCTGGTCCATTTTTAACCCGCTCGAGAAAGAGAGGCTGGTTCTCCATATATCTCATGCCAGGACTGACCTAGGGAAAACTGTTTTTAGTGTTAGTGCTGCAAACTCCTGGAATATTTTACAACAGGACCTGAATTTGAGCACTTTTATCCCTTATGGACACTTTCAGAAATATTATTTTTAACCGCCCAATACCTGACTGTAACTGTTTTATCTGATTTTATTTGCTGACTTATCATTGTAGTAATTTCAAGCTTTTAAATGATTTTAGTGTATATATATTTTATTGTTCTTATTGCTCTTTTATTAATTTCATTTTCTGTGATAGCTTTATCTCATTTTGTTTAACTCGTTTGTCATTTATGTATGTTTTCTCTGCATCATTGTAAATGACGGTCACCCTCAATGATCTCTCCGAGAATGTAAATAAAGGTTGATGATGATGATAATGGCTCAAAAACTGACGCCTTATCTCCATACATACCCATATATACTGTAAAATGATGATGTTTTGCCTCTGTGGATTACAGCCCTCAGTTTTAAATTTTCTCCTGGTGCATGTAGACATTAAAACAATAAGATATCTTCTGTGACAGTCCACACACAGTTTGTGTTGTGGGTAAATGTTGCTAAAGAATGACAGTTTTAGAAAACATGCACTCCAGAGGGGTTGATGAGGCTTCGATGGGAGGCGAGTACTTTGATACATTTGCAACCGTCATCCATATACTGATATGGTTGTTGAGGCTTGGGAGCTTTGAGATTTAGTCGTCAGCCTGAAGTTTAGTTAATCTTTTGTTGAAGGTATCTTGGCATCTTTGAGTCTGGCAAACACTTATTAAAAATGGTGTTATCTTAGATTTCAGGCCAAAAGGTTTTTCTTTTAAACTCCTGATGTTGTCTCCAGTTTGCCAGCTTTTGTAAAGCCTTTCATCTGTCACAGCTTAAGACTTCTATAGACATGCTAAGACTTTATTAATCCAGCTCTTTTTTTATAAACTTGCAGTCAAACACAGAAAGACATATCTGTGATAAAACAACCTACACTTTCCCCTCTGTTGTATCAAATAATCATTCAGCCTATCCTCATATTTTGTTCCCATGTTTTTTGCTTTTAATTTATTTTTGGGCTTTTTATGCCTTTAATGGAGAGATAGGACAGTGGATAGAGCGGGGAATGACATATGGGAAAGGAGCCACAGGCTTGATTTGAACCTGGGCTGCCCGCTTGGAGGACCACAGCCTCCATACATGGGGCGCACACACTAACCACCGCGCCACCAGCGCCCCAATTCCTGTGCTTTTTTAAACATGTTTACAGTCACAATCCAGGTCAAACTTACACGCATTACCAACTGCTGCCAAAAATAATTGGTCTCCCCTCATCCAACCTCACATCACTGAACAGTAAAGCTATCAGGACATCACACACCCACTAAATTATCACCTCACTCCTCTGGCCACTGGGCGAAGGTATACAGAGCACTGAGCTGCCCTTAAAGAGCAGACCTCCCTGAACCAGCCGTATGGTTAGTGTGTTTTTACTGTGAAATGTAAACTGTTGCTTTTCTCTGTGCTGTCACATTATGATGATTACTGTCAAACCTGCACACTGCTGTGAAGAAGACTTTCCCATTTGGGATGAGAAAGTCTAAGTCAATTCCTCAGCGAATAAACAGCATAAACATTAGTTTAAATATAATTTGGGTGTTAATATGTTATTCCTCTTTCTGTCTAATTGCAAATAAAAAATTATTGAAGCACTGAAAACATCAGCCGTGAGGGTTTACTTGTTGTCATTTCTATCTATGTTCACAGCAACAATTCTTTGAGCGGCTGTATGTCATGTACACCGTTGGCTACGCTGTGTCCTTCAGTTCGCTGCTCGTGGCCATCTTCATCATTGGATACTTCAGGTGAGAGAGGAATGGCTGATACTTATACGCATGGCTCGTTTTGTAATGAACTGAACTGTAACACCATCATCATTGTTGTTGCAAGTACAAAAACCGTAAGGTTAAATGCTTCAAGTGTTCAGTGAGTGCTCACTGTTAATGTGATTCACTGGCTATTGAAACATCTGATTCCGAGGGGAATGCTCTTTTCACTGTTACAGCTGCATCTTGTTTCACCCTGACAGTTCTGCTCTATTACCAATTACTTACTACTTTTAAATCAGGTTCGAGGCACTGTTGACACAGTGGTTAGTGCGCCCCATGTGTGGAGGCTGTAGTCCTCCAGGCGAGTGGCCCAGGTTCAAATCCCACCTGTGTCATTCTCCACTGTCTCACTCCCTGATTGCCAACTCTATCCACTGTCTTATCTCTACATTAAAAGACCCCAAAAGCAGTCTTCAACCCCCCCCCCCCCCCCAAAAAAAACAGGTTCCACTTTAGTTCAAAATGATTAAAAACATCAAGGAATGCTTAACATTTCAGCATGCAAATATTGAGGTTCATGTGGATGATTATGAAACCATGGACACAAATTAGGGAACGAGGAACTGATAAAAAAAAGTGAAACCAAATAATGCACAAGCATTAACTTCTGTGAAGCAAAGTCACCATGTTGATCAAAGCAGAATACGTGAAAAGGAACACTTCCAAAAAGACGACCACATTTTCTGGTTCAATTGGGGAAAATGTTCAAAGAGCCATCAACATGCCTCATGGTGAAAAAAACAGGTCTCTTGTAGCTTTGATTTGGTCTCTTTAATGTCCAATGTCAGCTCTTTTTGCTCGCTCTCTACCTCTGTTTCTTCTCATTAGAGATGCAGTCACTGTAAACTATGTGCAGCAACCAATAATTGTTAGATTTATGATGCTGTGGTACATTTACATAATCAAACCACAGCCCATTTCAGCTTATTACAGTGCTGTATAAAACGTGGGTATCCTGGATATCTATTGTAACAGAATGAGTTCAGTAAAAAAAAGGGTTTCTATGTCATGGTCGTGATCAAATACATGGAAAAATATCTGCGTCTTAAGGAAAAATAAATCGTAACAAAAAAGCTTTTGGACCACTTGACAATGCTTTCTTCTGTCTACAATGATTGATTGACTTATGAGAGCAGATTACGTATAAAACAATATACAGATTTAAGTCAGACCTGGAAATTATCTGTATCACTAACTAGTGAGCTACTTACCGATTTAAACACATCTTCAATACTTGAGAAATTTTAGTTGCAGTAATTACACACATCAACAGAAGGGGCGGCAGTGTTGGCAGCAACAATAGCATGGATTCTAATTTAAATGAAATTATACGTATTACCCCTTTGATATACTATACCACTGGTGTGGCTCTGATGGCCAACTTCCACCAGATGCGTGCTCGGTCCGTCTCAGCTCCAGCAGTCCAGAACCCTCCGCAGCTGATACGCAGAGCTTTTATTTAACACAGAAAAGAAGAAGCAGGACGTGAAGTCAGACTCCGATACAACATTAAAAAATCTGGTTTATTTTTAAGAATAAAACACATTTTGACAGTTCAGAACGATGGCCAAAAGTGTGCTTGCTTATGTGTTTTATCTCATGCTGTGACGAGTGAATCTGTAAAATTACCGCAAGAATTCCTTTGTCTCGGCACTCCAGCTGTCCGGCTCTGCTTTCCCTGCTGCGCACTGAGCCTGTGGGTACAACGCATCGATTTAGCACAGTAAAGAACGAACGGGACGGGAAGTCGGACTACACAACAACATTAAAACATCTGGTTTATTTTCAGAATAAAACCATCAGTTTTACGGTTCAGAACAATGACTGAGCCTGTGGTTGTTGACGGACGAGGTGCACTGTGCCGTGACGGACCGGAGCGGTCACACAATGCACAAGCTTTGGTCAACAGCAGAGAGACAGTGAAAGCATTGCAATGTGAAGAATAAATACGTCTCATGAGCTGAGATCTCAACCAAATTTGACTTTTTATAATCTGAAGAGCTCATATCTCTCACAGATATTAAAAAAAAAGGTCACTGGGGATGCCCTTAAAGCGATGGTTGATCTGCATTACATCTAACAATCTAAACCTCAAGGATAATGTGTCAGGGGCTTGCATGTTTGCATTTTTCTCTGCTCTTATTTATCTAAATCAATGAATGCCTTTTTTTTGTGTTCACTGCAGGCGTCTTCACTGCACCAGAAACTACATCCACATGCACCTGTTTGTTTCCTTCATGTTGCGGGCAGTCAGCATCTTTGTGAAGGACAAGGTCGTCCATTCCAGTGCTGGATTGCAGGACTTTGATTCTGCCCTTCTGGACAACTTAAAAACAGTCAGCATGGCACCACTGGACAAGTCTCAGTATGTAAGTACCGGTTATTTAATCCTGTTTTTCTGTCTGACAGACAGGCATGTCAGGCTGTCGTTCAAACCAAACAAGGTCCCTGCTGCGTCCTTCCAAGTGTATTTTGCTTTTGCAGTGGAAAGCTTTTGTTGCAGCGAGTATCTACTATTAAATCATATTAATGATATGATCATACATGACAGAACTTATCCATCTTTCGACTGGGCATTACCAGACACGTTCCTCAAGTCGTTTACTGTTGAATGTTCCTCTCAGATTGGAACTGGGAAAATCTGCTTTTTGTTATTCTGCACTGGACTCTTGGAACAACATAAAGCATCTTCTTGATGGAAATTTACCTTTTAGGCATTTTAGAAACCTGATTTTAAGCCTCCCAACCTGTGTTTGTAACTGTTTTACATAAGTGTGTTTATTTATTGCAGTTTTGTACTAGCTTAATTATCTTAGTACATTTTAGACTTGTGTAGACTGATTTTAGCAGTCTTGTATTATCTGTCCCCTGTTTTTCTTTTTGATTTAATGTCTGCTTTCTAATTATTTCTGTAATGACTTGATGTCATTGCAAATGAGGGTTGCCCCTCAATGATCTTTCAAGTATAAATAAAGGTTGAATTGAATATAGTAACCTTACTATATCATCAGACATTAAGCAAACATGCTGTGTTGCAGTGCTGGCTTCTCTGACAATGGTTTGTTTCAGTTTTGACCAGAGGACTCGGTTTGCCAGACAACCTGAAACCCAACAGGTGCTGCAGCGATGGTTTAGATAGACTCTGCATTTTTCTAATAAGCTCCACGACTGCAAAGTTTTTTTTTTATCTATCTCACTAATAAATTAAATTATAGAAGCAGAAGTCAACCGCTTCACTCTCTTCAGCTGAATTCTCCCTGACTCGTGAAGAAATTATCACTTACAGACTCCTGTCTGCCTTTGTTTCTGACTGCCTCTATGATTTCTATTTGTGGTTTCAAAGAGTTTTCATCATGTTTTATTATGCATTAATTATCAATATTAATCTATAATAGTTCCTGTAAGTGATACTTCTCACATCAGTTCCAACTTTTTAATCACGCACTCATACACTGAGGTTTAATCATTAAGTGTTTCTTACCTGATGGTGCCAACTCTTAAACAGGAAATAGTCAAACTTTTAACGGCATTAACCAAATCAAGGCTTTATATGCCCTCATACCCTCATAGGCTTGATATATTTCATCCAGCAGATGTCAGCCTTGAGCACCAGCATAAAACCAAAACAACTCGCGGTGCATTGTTGTATTAGCATGCTAATGCTAGTGATCTTTATTATGCTCGTATCTTCACACTGCATGTACATTTACCCTAAATGAGCGTGATCTAGAAACACAGTTATTCAGTGAGTACAGTATGTTTTTCTTCTTTTCTCTAGTCCCTCAATTAAACAACTTTTATTCGTGAGGGGAGGAGTCAGCCGCCGTCCCGGCGATGTAAAGAAACTGAAGATAGGACTCGGAAAACTCGGAAAACTCGGAAAACGTCACAGACAGTGGGACTCGGGTGTTACACCCATTATAGACAGTCATGACTCACAGAGTTATTTTCAGAAGATATACTTGATTTCTATTATATTTAAGTGTGAAAAATCGCATATAAAGCCTTTAAAGCTCTGTGTTCATGGATATCAAAAGAAAATGGTCTTATTTGGTCAAGCTGTGTAAAGTAATCACAGAGACAACTTATGATGCCTTCAGTCACCTGTATGTGTTTGGTTCACATAAACCCAGCTCAGTGTTGTGGGGTCAGTCAACAGCACTTTGAAGAAGCAGATCATGAAAGGGTTGACAGAGACTTAGCTTCTAATTACACCCTCTGCCAAACGTGACATTTTCTTCTTCAGTGAAGGTCAAAAGCTGTCACATCCAACTCCATGCACTTCAACAGTTTAATTGGTCCATTAGAGACAGCGTGACAGCAGAACAACAAGAATAAGCCCCAGTTATTATCGTACAGGGTAGCATGTGTTTTGGTTCTAGCTGTTAGACATTGATAACTCCAATGATAATTGTAATGATTATACTGATTCATTTTAAGGGAGCTTTTTAGACATCAAATAAAAAAAAAAGGAACACATCAGGAGTGTTAAAGTGTTTCCACAAGTAGGTCTGTTGTCCTTTGTTGGTCTTGATAAATTGAAACAAAGCACAGGTGTGAAAGTGCATTTAGGGCGCTCACACTACGCCCAGTTGTCCCTTATGGTGCTCCAGGACTAAGCACTGTGTGCTCTTGTACATAAGATCGTTATACAACACATATACTGTGATCATGAAGCGTGCAAGACGGGTGGACTCAAATTTTTAATTTTTTTTCTTGTTCTAAAAGGACATGCAGTAGAGTCTGCGTCCTCACATTGGAGAACAACACAGATAACATGACAGCTAGTTTACTGACTTTGTGGCATATTTTGAGTCATTTTAGTCGGAAACAGCGACAACACTCCAGGAATTCTTGATGATAGAAGGCTGCCTTTGCTTCTGCTCTATATGATGCTTGGGCACTTCAGTGGGGGGGAAAATGCTGTCCCGCTGGACCAGAAGGGCAGCTTCAGCTCCCTGCAACAGACCTGTAATATTCACAGACATGCTCACAGCCTCTAGTCCATAGCTCTTTAACAGCGCTCGAATAGTGAGAGCCAGAATAGTTAAGTAGCTATACAGTGTTAAGGTCAATGATAATGCCCACATGCTCTGAGTGGAATCTGCTTTTGATTGAGTAACCTGATGTACTTTCCAAACTGGAAAAGGTCTGCGCGCCTGCTTGAGTGTGATGCATCTTGAGTGGGATTCTAATCGGACTAAACGAGGGAAAGATTTCAACTTTTTCGGTTATTATTGAAAAAACTCTGACAAAGACAGTCAATATGTGGTTAAAACAACATTAGGGTGAGACAACTGTGAGCATTGACCCTAGTTATGGTTTTAAATGCATTTAATTATTCATTATGCATTAATTGCATTTTTTATTAACCCATGAATCCCTCTTGCTTGTATATGATATTTTAAAGATGTAGCTCTATTTTATCTTAGTCTTAATTTTAGAGGCATCTGAGGTATTTAGCTGGGCCAACATCAAGTCAAGGTCAAGGTTTCTTTATTTGTCTCCCTGGGGAGAAATTTGTCTCGGATATGGAGAAACTGCTGCATGGACGAAACATGGACCAATTAAATGAAAACATCAGTTATCACAAGTGTTCAAAACATTAGCTTATCCCTGCTTCTAAGGTAACCAAAGTATACTTAAGTATCAGTACACACACACACACACACGCCTATGCACACTGCGCATACTTAGATACTCAGCACATTCCACTCAGACACAGACCCTATTCATCAACATATTATTGACCTGCCTGTCATTGGAATGTCTTGCTCAGTAAGTCATAAATCTAATTCTCTTTTGTACTATGACCTTATTGATCCTGACTTTAACTGGAAGGCCTTTCTATGCCCTACCTTACTTTTGTCAAATCGCTTTATTCTGCTTGTAGGAGCTCAGTGTATCACTCACACATTCTTATATATCCTTTATTTCTTATTCACCGTCTTGTTAAACACTCATTCTAATTCTGAACAATAAAAGGACGACAAACAATGTCTGTTTATATTTTGAAAAGTGAATTTTCATAATCTGTAATTACCTTGTTAACTTTTATAACTGATGCAATTAAAGTCAGTGAGAGTAAGAGAACCTAACTTTCCAGACGGTCAGGTTTGATATGGGTTATATTATCAAATAACCCAAGTGTGAGGGATAAATGAGTTTGTAATAGTCTTGGGATGCATCCTTTGACAAATGGGCAGAAAGAGCTGGCCGCCTCATTGTCAATCCCTGGAATTAATGGACAATAAGCCACACATTCTGAACTACAACCAGCCCATTATCACTACACTCTGAGCAGATACACCATAAAGTGCTAAATAATTATAACTGTGGAGCAGCACACACAGCGACGGTAATGGTGTTCATGAAAAAACTTTCTATATATATATGTGGATTTATTATCCCAAATACCGAAAATTTCTGAATGTCAATGCCAAAAATGAAATTGGTGTTTGGTTCTGAAAGCTGTGTGTCTGGGATGTTGATGGTAAGAACAGTCTGTCCCTGGGTTTCCTGAGTTTGAAGCATCTTTGAGTAAAGAAACTTGGAGGTTATCAAGATGAATATATTCTCTGTACCTGAGGGGTCTGCCTTTCAGCCTCCAGTCTTATCTCAGCTGTCATTTCACATCCAGCTGAGTGCAGACCTCCAGATTAGTTTAGAATACAGAGACATTATTTGTTGGATCTTCTTAACAATGTGATTTCAAAAAGTGTGATCAGTTCATTGTTTAAATCGCAGACAGTCTCCTCATTTCCTGTGAGATTTTCAGAACTGTGAAATTGAAATGAAATGTTGCAAAGAGAGTTGTAGTAGATAATCAACACATAGTTACCTTTCAAAGTTAAGCATATTAAAAAAAACATAAAAATATAAGTTTTGTAGGCAATTAATTTTATCATAATGATAAATGGTAGATGTCTCTTTAATGATGCATTGGCAGATGTATTGATAGATACCGTAAAACTTCTATTAAAAGCCCGGGCTCTAAAAATTACCCTACTTTTATTTGGGACAGGCATCAATACGAGTCAGGCCTTTAATTATTTTCTGACAAATCTAGTGCACAGCACATATGGGAAACTACTATTACATTGTAGATTTACACCAGAAAGATGAACTGAGTACAAAATTAGGAGATTAATAAACAGATGAAATAAATCACTATTGGGTCTAGCTTTGTGAAACAGCATGCAAACCTGCTTCATGCCCGTTTCTGAAAGCAGGTTTAGTGCAAACCATGAGTCTGTTAACACTGAAATCAGGGAAACTCTGGGTTTTTTACGTTTCAGAAAGGGAGGTCACTCAAACTTTAAAAAGAGGGGTAACAACATTCAATTGCAAAAAGATTGGCTAGTCCAATTAAGAGCACCTGGACCTGTTGCTCTCAGGGCATAAAGTTTGTCTCTGCCTGTTCCGTCTTACAGAGCCAGAAACACGGTTTAATTTCCGCCTTCATTCATTCAGTCCATGTCATGTGCATGTTGGTTGCAATTCCCTGTTTGTCTGAATACAAATCCAGGTTGTTTTAATATAATCTGTAAGGCATACTTTATAAAACATACTTTGTTGTCCAACATAGCATGTCCTTTAGACGGGGAGCCTCTAGATGAAGGGGCTGCAATACTACCCCGCAGGGAGTAAATGTAATCAGGCCTAATCAATGAGATGAGATGAGATGAGATGAGATTCAACTTTATTGTCATTACACATATACAAGTATAGAGTAACGAAATGAGGTTTGGCATCTCACCAGAAGTGCAAATAAGCAGAAAGTGCAAGAGTCTGTGCTATGTACAGTAATTGAGTGCAAGAGTCTGTGCTATGTACAGTAATTCTGTGCTATGTACAGTAATTGCAAAATTTACAGATGTAGACAAAAAAAGTGAATTATGAGGTATATCTGGATGGCTGGATTAATGGGATGCAATAAATATAAATAAATGCTATAAATAAGTAATGCTACAAAATAAGTGTGTTCTTAGGATTATAATATACAGATTAAGATGCAGTGAGCATGCTATACTAATAATATACAGATTAAGATGCAGTGAGCATGTTATACAAGTTTACAGATAATTTAAAGAATATGAACATACTATAATACAATAATACAGGTGGATGAGAGATGTGTGTGTGTGACCAGGAGGAGTGGTGGGGGGATGGTGGGTGTGAGGTGATATGGAGGGAAAAGGGGGGTCAGCAGGGTGCGGAGAGAGAGAGGGAGAGAGAGAGAGAGACAGAGTTCAGAGTTCGGGGTGTGAGGTGATATGGAGGGGAAAGGGGGGTCAGCAGGGTGCGGAGAGAGAGCGGGAGAGAGAGAGAGAGACAGAGTTCAGAGTTCGGGGGGCAGAGTTCAGTAGAGAAACAGCTCTGGGGAAAAAGCTGTTCCTCAGTCTGCTGGTTCTGGTCCGGAGGCTTCTGAAGCGCCTGCCGGAGGGCAGGAGGGTAAACAGTCTGTGGGCAGGGTGGGAGGAGTCTTTAAGGATGCCATGAGCTCGCCGCAGACAACGTGTTCTTTGGACATCCTCAGTGGCAGGAAGTGGACACCTTGTGATGCGCTGGGCGGTTTTTACCACCCGCTGTAGCGCCTTACGGTCTGCGACAGAGCAGTTTCCGTACCAATAGAATATTGGTGAGAGGACATTTGTGTGTGAAACCAGCATTATGTTGCGTATAAAGCTAATGTACATGGAAAGCAACTGAATGATGTTTACTTTGTTGAAGTCAAATATGATTAAATTGAGGTTCAGCATGAGCCCTACCTGTTTGAACTCTGTTCTTATCTTTCATTTTTGAGCTGCATAAAAGTCGGACATCTCTCACTGGATGGTGAAAATCCATTTTAGATTCAATACCATTCCACCAGTTTTCACCTGTAATATTTTAAGTGTGATCAAATAGTATATAATTAGACTACATTCAAACTCACACAGTAACCAGAGTAGCATTTCCCCCCCACGCTGCGTCGCTCCTTTGCCGCTGCAGCAGTGTTACTTTTTTCATACTCGCCCTACGTCAACATGAGGATTTCTAGTTCAAGACCTTTTTTTTGTCGCCTGTTGCCATGGTGAATGGTATTATATTGGCTCCATTAAGATCTCCTTTTCATGGCCGGGCTGCATGTGATGAACTCCATGGAACCCCACTCAGAGTTGATCGAACAAACTCAAATCCGCTGTTCTGGAACCGGAAACTCAGAGTTTCCCATTTACGCATGACTCAACTCAGAGTTCAGGGTCGGTATCAGTTTATTAAACCTCCTATCAGAAACGGGTCCTAGGTGTGTAATGTAAAGTATTTACTGGCATGTTTTCTGTTGTGTTGCAACAGGAAATAGAAGAAGAATCCTTAAACGTGCTGCTTTTGTAGCAAGAAGCCTTTCATCATTGAAACTCTTAAGGGCTAAGTATCTGTTTTTTTTTAGTATGGCTCGACAACAAACTCCTCATGGGGACTCTTCTGATCAAAAAGAACAACTAATGCAGTCAGTGACTCAGCCATATCTGTGAGCATGAATGAAAATGGACCAAATCAGTGTACCAAATCAAGGTTTTTTGGCTGCATTCCATTTAATTGTTACTCATCAAATGAAGCAACAGTTCATCTGACAGTGTCATTATCATTCATGTCATTGAGAAGATCCAAACGTTGCTCGTGAATGATAATCATTCTTTGAGTTGAGGTCTGAGAAAAATCTAGGTATCTCTAATTGGCTGGATGAAGATAAATGTGTCATTCTAACGATTTGAGAATAAACAATTATGAAATCCAAACATAGTAAAAGCAATTATGTTGTTCTGCACTCAGCCATGCAGTCTAATTCCTCACCTTGAACATCTTTCACTGGATGACTTGGACGACAAATAAAAGATTAAAATGAACTTTTCTCTGTATAAATGGGATATTACTTATTGACAAAAACATTTTCAAGTAAATATCTCCTCATTTTTGTTCACAAGTCTATTTCTGTCCATTCGTCCATTTGTGCCACCATCATATGTGGTCCTAAATAAAACTCAATCCCAACTCAATCTGACTTTGAAGTCACTCTCGAGCAACACTATTGTGAAAATTCTGCACTAGTGGGACAGGCGGGAGTGGGAGTCACTCACACACAGTTGAATCTCTATACTGACATAGAAGCCATTAATCCACAATAAGTCATCATTCAAATTTTGACTCTTTTTCCTAACATCACCTCTCCTTCATCTGCTTATAGATAAGACTGCACATCAATTTCTACATGTAACCGGAAACTACTCTTAATCAATTGTGAAATGATGACTTAAATAAATGAATGAATCAATCATTATTTGTTTAGCGCCAATTCATGACAACTGTTGTCTCAAGACACAAAAGAGCAGATTGGATAATATGCAGGAAGGATTTCTCCTGTGTATTCCTCCCGTTCCGGTTGTCCACACTTCCTTGCCACTGAGGTGGGGTTAGAGCAGGCCGTGCATGAATGAGGATGCCGATGGTTTAGGAGGCGACACATTCCGAAGGTGGTGGCTGGGCGTCAGGCGGTGGTTGGGACGGCACAGGCCGATGTTAGTGAAAGTCGTAAAGTACGCCTTTAAGGCTTGTGGTTCAAGTTTCTACATCACACACTTGTAAGGACCATGCATTGCTTTCTATTCAATTGACCATGACGTAGCGTGCATTGGACTATTTAACAGAAACTGAAGGTAAACACAGAAACTTCGGATGATAAATGTGAAATTTGTCTTCTTGCAAAGCAGTCTTCTACATTGACTATGGGTTACTTAATAATGTAAATGTTCACTGGCCTGGCGGCTGTGGCTCAGTGGTAGAGTTGGTTGTCTCTCAAATGAAAGGTTGAGGGATTGATCCCCAGCTCTTGCAGTAACATGTCCGATGTGTCCTTTGGGCAAGACACTTAACCCAATGTTGCTTTCACTGCTTCATCAGCATTGGGAAAATATTTTTTTATGAAAGATTATGACATGTGGCTGGCTTACACCTTTGTATTCATGCATTTCTCATGTTAATTCCTCATATTAATCAGGACTTGAGCTGCCGATGACAGACAGGTTGCACAGCAGGATGTATGTATGATCGCATTAAAAAACAGAGTTTATTTCATATCCTTTGGGCATGTCTGTGCATATATTGTCATAATTTATTTCGTTCTGCTGTTGAATTTGTTCTCTCTCATGACACTTGATGTGGAGCTCGAGTTATCCAAACACTGAATTCACTTAATCACGGAAATAGAAAGTTCATTTATTTTGTTTTATCATATGCGTTTGTGTTTGTCCATGAGAACTGATGTAGAGTTCAAAATCACTAGGACTCACTCTGTGTGTCACTCAGGTGTTACATAAAGATAACATCACAGCTGGCAGAAACGTTTGTGATTAAAGCCTGGCTCAGACTGCAGGACAATCTGGCCAATTTAAGGTCCAATCCCTCCTTCCTGATAATCGTGAGTGTGTTCCCAACTTGAGCTTCCTCAGAACCGATTAGCTTCACAGATTATCTAGTTGTGTGGGTCGCATAAAGATCCAATCATAATGTCCCCAATCTGTTGTCATCTGGACAATGACTACAGCAGCCTCTGTACATGGGGTACATTCTCTAACCACTGAGCTATACCGGCACCCCTGATAGCTTTTTTTCAATGTGAATGTTAAACGTACAATTTGAGTTCTGTGTAATTATCCTAATTGGTATGAAAATTTACACAGCAAGGTGTTTTGAAATGTAAATTTGATCATCTAGTCGATGGGCACCTGTGGTGTCTGTAACAAAGCCACAGGTAACTGAACTCAAAACACAGTCTTTGGTCAGGGGAAAGAAAACAGTCTTTACTTCTTAAGCAGACAGAATCCAAAAAAAGTGATCCAAGAGGAAACAAAAGGCTTGACCGCTTCTCACAGGGGTCAAAGATGAACTGGCACAGAAGGAAGGGAAGCCACAGACTAAATACTAAGGTGAGGGGGAAGACAACGAGATGCAGCTGGGAACAATCAGGGCGGGGCAGACAATCACACAGGTGGGAAACACATGAGGGCAGGAAGTGAAGGATCTGAAACGAGAGGAGAGGTTAGTGACCCAAAACAGGAAATAATACAAGTAGAAATAAAAACAACCTAAGACACCGAGCTGGACATGACAGTGTCACAATGTGTGATCACAGAGACTTCAACCTAAAAGAAAAAAACAGAATGTTCTAAAGGTGTCACTGTTTTTTCTTTTCCCTTATCAGATTGGCTGCAAGGTGACAGTGCTGCTCTTCATCTATTTTCTGACCACCAACTACTACTGGATCCTTGTAGAAGGCCTCTACCTCCACAGCCTCATCTTCATGGCCTTCAGATCAGACTCTAAATACCTCTGGGGATTTATTCTCATCGGATGGGGTGAGCATAAAAATGCCTTCTTTTTTTTTAAGGTTTATTTTTTGGTTTCTATTCCTTTATTGTAGAGATAGGACAGTGGCTAAAGTCAGAAATCATGGAGAGAGTGAGAGTGGGGAATGACATGCAGGAAAGGTGTCACAGGTTGGATTTGAACCTTTGAAGCTTGGAGGGCTATAACCTTTGTACATGGGGTGCGCGCACTAACCACTAGGCTACCAGCACCCCAAATATTACACATTTCTATTACCACAGATGGTAACTAAAGCACCCATCGAAACAATCCTTAATTTTCAGCATTATAGATTACAACTCTATAAAACAACCAAGGTTTCCTTGTCACCTTATGATTAAATCTACAGTATATTAAACTCAATGACAATGAAAATATTATATATTTTACAGCAAAGGCAGACATTTATAGCAAACATGTTTAAATGCACTCTAGTCTTTAATATTATCCCATTCATATGAATATAACTAAATTAAAGTCCCTCTACACACAGAGCTGGACTTGCATGATGTCAGGAAAACATTACCTTGGATCAGGGCTTTATAATTCACACGAAACAAATGTCATTTGCATAAATTGTTTTGATTTGAAGGCAAAATAGTTTGTTTAACAGAACCAAATATACGTGTTATAAAAAACAAAAACACCAGTTTAGAAATAGACATTTGGAGGCTATATAATGGGTTTTTGTACTTTCAAACCCTGAAGTATGTCCAAATGTCAGACATGAAAGGTTTTTGTCCCTGAACTCTTTTTGTTCTTTTCTTTGAAGAAGAGGAAAACAAAGGGAAGGCCCTCGTGTTGGCTCTCTGTCTCATCTTGTGCAGCTACACTCATCCACTATAGAGGCTGCTTTAGTTTGGTTTTGAGTTTGTCCCAAAAAATGAAAACGAGATCTGAGTTGTGAGATCTGTGTAAATCTGCTATGACTGGAGAGAAAACTGACCAGAAGGAAGCACCAAGAAGGAAAAACAAGGGATTATGGGGGATAAACCAATGATTAATTATGCTCAAATGTTTAATAATTTAGCAGAATATTGTTTTGCATTTTGAATGAATCCATCTGTCAATGTCTTGTTAGTGCAAACATTGTATTAGGTAGCAGTTGCCAAGCCTCTCAGGGTAAACCAACCCTTGTCTGACTGTAATGACAGATTTAGTGTCATGCCACTATTCTCTTAAAATTATGGATAGAGGCATATCTTTATGAACATTTTATATGTGAAGATGCATTGTTGTTAGCCTGCACCTTATGCAGAATTAAGTCAGTCTAATCAAATATAGCAGTTTAAGCATAGATTTAACCTTTTGACCCTTTTGGTGCCAAACCAAACTCTTACACGTATACATTAGTCTCCTGTTTAACTTGCAAAACACACAGAGGGATATACATTGATTTACATTCACTAATTAACATTATGGATTACACGTATCGTTCATAAAATCTAAACGTATGTGTTATAAAAAAAGAAATCAGCCCCTGTGCAGTGTGTGCCAATACTCAGACTGGGGCTTCTGGTTCCGGTCTAGAGGGAAAGGCAACTTAGAAAGAGAGCTCTCGACAAGAATTAATTAAAACTGCCCCAAAGTGAATTTACTAACCAGCGAAGTACACGAAAACAAGGGAGAAGGGGCACAAATGATGTCCAAAAAGAACAGGAGAGGTAAAAAGTCAATTATCAAACAAGTTGAAGTTGATGTTGATACTGGAAGAACTAAGAGGCGTTGGGAAAGAGGTGAAAGAATTTTGAAAAGACACAAAAACACAACTACTGGACATCAGAGGAGAGCTGAACAAAACCAATGCGAGGCTCCACAAAGTGGAAACCAGGGTCGCTGGGCATGAAGATAAGCTCCAAAATACAGATGAGATATTATCCGAGATGATAACAACGCAGGAAAAGCTTAAACTAAAACTGACATCGTTGGAAGCCTACTCGAGGAGGGAGACGCTCAGACTATACGGGGTCCCGTAGGGAGCGGAATTGGGATCACAGTCTATGATCCATTTTGTGGAGAGAATCTCAACATCCACTACAGATCCAGAGGGCGCATAGAGCATTATCATCTCCCCCACCAGACGGCTCCAAGCCCAGGTAGATCCTGGTAAAATTCCTGTGCTGCACTGTTAAAGAAGTGCTTAATCTGGCATGGCAGAAGAACGGTTTTATGTGGAACAACAACAAGATAAACCTCGACCACGACTATCTTCCGGAGATCATGGCCATGAGGAAGGAGTATGCAGAGGCGCGGAGGATCCTGAAAGACAAGAATCTGCGGTTCTGCATGCTGACTGTAATCGACTTCTTTTACATCATTGTTATTGTTTTAAACTTGGTTAATGTTCTTGGTAGTTTTTGACATCTTTGCAGAAGTTTTTAGAAAATGCACAACTGTTTTTTAATGAAAAACAGGAAGTGTAAAGACTTATTTCAAACTTGGAATATTGTCAAATTCATAATAACAGTGGATTATTTGTGAGTAAATAACAATATCCAACAGGTAACGGATCACAGCTTTTAAGCATTCTAATTATTCCTGTGATTTAACGGTTATAAAAGAACAATAGAAAGAGCAGATTGGTGGAGCAACACTCTTCAACATGTTGGACTAAAGCTGTACTGTTGAAGTTTCAGATAATGTGATATGGATGCTCCATTAAGTTTTCTGTTACATCCCTTGTTACTTAACAAAGTACTTTTTTTTTGTATCCATGAGGTCTGATAAACTAGTTCTATGCACTTATATCACCTCAAACTTGCTACATTACTTGAATTTCCCTTGTGTTGTCTCGTTAAATACACGAGCCATCCCTCAATGTTATGTCTGAACAACTGAATTAGATAAGAGGATAAGTGCTAACATGCAGGTGAATAGGTACTTCCATTAGTACTTACACCAAGAGCCCATTAAAATGGAGATATAACACTGTTTTTCTGTGCTGTGTGCAGTGATCTCCATTATGGTTATCTGTGTACTTTCCATTCATACTATTTTAATTCTTTGTCTCTCTCCATTAATTTCCATTTCCTTCTGTGATACATATAAGCATATAAATGGGCTAGCAGGGCTGAAACCTCCCATTCTCATACAATTAAGATAAGAAAATGATTCCTTCTATTACTTTTAACAGCTTTTTAAATGTTGGTAGGACCTAAAGTAGCAACCAAACTTAAATGTAACAAGAAAAACCAACAATATCGCTAAATGGGATCATTTCTTACAGCCCGAGCACTGCAGAATTCTCTTCCAGTAGTGTAAATGAGTGACAGGTGTCATGGCATGACCCCCTCAATTTGTGTAACATTTAGGCTTAAAGGTGTAGCATGTATACATTTTTACAGTTAAATATCAAAATTAGTTCAAATTGACTAAACATATGTAATGAAATATTCTTGTTGAGTACTTACATTACCTCAAATATTTCCAACAGTTATCAAAGCCAGAGAAATCCCTTACGTTATCAGTTGTAACACCCTGCGCCTTTCTTGGTGCACGCCATGACAGACACGACGATGTTACGCCAAAGACCACATCGTGAGGAAGCGGGGAAGTGCTACTGAAAGCTGCCGTACTGTTGCTGTATGTGCTGCTGAGAGAAAAAAAGGAATGTAAATTATACTTGGATACATTAGCTCGTCGGTAAACCCCGTTCGCCCGTTTGTCTTGACTAGGGTCAACTCGTAATCTGTTGTCATGGGGGGCTTAACTTGAAAAAAGTCAAGCTATTAAATAACATCCATTTTCACACATATGCTTCCTTTATTTCATGAAAGGGCAATGTGAGGTGAAATAGAAATGAAACCTGGGCCATGAATCAGGTAAAAAAAGAGACTATAGCTGATTTGCGCTCCTTAAAATTTCAGAGGGACTGCTCCTAAGATGCTCCTGATCATGTTGTTCACACATGCAACCTCACAGTGGGAGACTTTCCTTGTCGGACAGGAGCTGGGGCACGGGGTCTCAGCCAAAGCAACAGATACCCCTATACGACACTGTAATGAGACTATTTGCCTTCATTTCAATTCTTTGTGTAGTTCAGCATACATCATGAACAAAACAATGGAGAAGAAAATACTAGCGAACAGAAAACATAATGCAGCAGTTTAATTACATGCAAGGAGATCGCAACATTTGTGTGCATGCATTCTATGGTTGTGCACTGATGGCAGGGAATAAATGTCACCACCCTCTCCCAATTGCCCAAGGTAAATGATCCTGATTATACCGTGCTCTGTTGTCACATCAGCTCATTTGCACTTCATACAGAGAAACTACTAGGGGGGCTGGCAGGAGAAACTCTGGACAAGTCAGAGCGAACCATTCAGCTGTTTGTGTTCACACATGCAGCTCACACCAACAACTTCAGGAGTGTTTAAGGACTTTTGTGCGAGGCGAAAATTAAGGCTTATGTCAGTAACAAGACAGCACTGTTTACGGTTGTTTCATTTGATTTCAGGTGTTCCAGCTGTTTTTGTGGCAGTGTGGGCCGTTGTCAGGGCAACGCTAGCAGATGCAAGGTGAGAGAACAAGTCTTACAGTCGGTTATAACGTTATGAGAAGACTTAATGGTGTATTTAATTCCTAATTGTAGTGACATTTGAATGATCATTGAAATCACATTAAATATGCATGATATAATTTGCAAATTTAATGAAAACCAATGTTTTCTCCAGGCTTCTCATTAAAAGAAGTCATGTAATATGTATCTATCTGGAACATATATGATATTTGAACCATTTTTGATTGACAAACATCTCATTATAAACTTTGAACATTGGACGGTTCCTATATAGTAATGTCCACTTCTTTGGGTATACTTTCCACATGGTTTTGGTAACTTGCTGAAGGGTTCTTTCATCATCCGCAGTAAGGCCTGGATCACACCGGCTGCTTTCTTAAAGATAACGGATTGGGTTTCGGCCTGTTCATTGTGAATGTTTGCTTCCACACCAAACTCAGAAGAAAAAAAAACATTTCTCAGGGCTGCAGGGAAATATTTGGAGTTTTAAAATGGCATCAGATTAAACAATTTAACATAAGAATAAGGCCTTACTTGTTATGAAATTATATAAACTCACTTTCAGTTTTACAAAGGCACAGACTTGTAAAGTACCTTAAGATTAACTACGAATAAGAGAATAACTAAAGAATAAGAGAATAACTAGAGAATAACTAAAGAATAACTTTGAACACGCACACATAAAAACACTTGTACCTTAAAGAAGCAGAGTGGCTCAGGGTCTGTACGGGACAAAAAAAAGTGATTTATTATGGTCAAAATGTAGCATCAATTTTAATTGAATATATGCTTTACTCAGCCTATCTACCCTCAATTCCGATCAGGATAGGGGACAAAAACAAAGCTTATATATTTTTTGCTGCCGGGATGATGGGAAAACATTCATTTCCTGCTTGCGAGCTGTCAGTGGACGGTATGGGGAAGTGCAAATTCAATCGAAATGGTCATCCAACCAAGACTTTTGTCGCTAGGCTGAAATCAGTACCAGCCAATGTATTCAAGCAATGATAGATTTTTGCAAGTTCATCCGCCCACAAGCGCTCGGCATTTCACCATCCTATTGTGCCCTGGTCTCCTGCTTGCCGCTACCTTCATCATCATCACCAGGGACAACAGCACTTGGACAACATCTGGGTAAATATCAAAACAGAGGTACTGTTGTGGCTGTGTTATGGGTTCTCTGTATGTTTTAAGTAACAAATACCTTTTTTGGCTGTGGGAGAGAGTATCTTAAAGATTTGGCTGTCCTAAACTTTCTAAAGTAGTTTATTTAATTCAATTGTTGCCTTACTTGTTTGAGCCTTCTCTTTATTAATACATTGTGCTGCTATCCAGTTTGATACATAAGAATACGTCATTGTTCTTCCTCCTCCATATTTTATATGCTTCATTAATCCTTTTTTAACTCTCAGGTTGTTGAAAGGGATCAGAACAAGACAGTCAAGAAGTCTCTGTCTTCATGGACAAACCATTTGTCAATTTGTAGATCCTGAAGCCTCTACAGCAAGAAGAGGCTGAGTGGAATTGAAGAAACTCAACTGATAATGTTCAGAAGCTTTGGGCCCCCACACCTTACAGCAACACAATTTCCACATCCATTCTTGGAACCCATCACAATCTTTTGTACCACAACTTCTTAGGATAGCCTACAGTCAGGAAAAAGATGTAACCAAATCCAGGAAGATTGTCTTTTAAAAGACTAAACCTCTTATCTTGGCAAAACTCTTCTTCCACATGTATGTGACCAGGACCTTGAGTCCTAACCTGACAGCATCAGATGATTGAGTGATGGAATTCAACGCCCACAATTATATGAAGAGGTCTTCATTTTGTAATACTGTTCTGTTGATTAAGGTCAACGTGTAAACCTGATGCATTTATCATGATACAGCATTGATGTTAAGTCAACTGATAAACAAATATTTCAAACAGATATCATCAAATAATATGTTACAATATTTTGTCCAATGAAGATGGGGTGGCTGTGCCTCTGTTTTAGAGTCCGTCATCCCTCAATAGGGAAGTTGGCAGTTTGATCCCAGTTCCTGCAGCCACATATCGAGATGTCCATGAGCAAGAAACAGAACTTTCATTTGGATGAAAGCTGTTATATACTGTAGGTTATATACCAAGCAACAGAAAAAGTTGAGAGACCTCACTTTGCTAAAGTTTAGGTCGGACTGCATCAAAGCAATGTAATTTTCTCTTGGGAAAGAACAGGGCATGGGGCCACTTAAAAGTTCTCACTTTGAGGCAGACAACCTTTATGAACCCAATAGAGATGTGTAATCTGATCCAGACTGGTGCCAGGGCAACATGGGGATTCTCATTCAGCAGGTGTCAGGAGGTGTCTTTGTTTTTAGAATGTCTTTAGAACCAAAGATCATGTAAAAAAGCTCTTAACGAGTATTCTGAAATGGCAAATCAATTTCCTTGTTTTTTAACCATAAGATGTTGTCACTGCAAGATAAAGTGTTAGTCTATATTATTTTATAGATTTTTGTCCTATCCTTTCTATTTGTTGCATGTGTTTGGAACAGTGTGGTGATTTATTACCTGTAGAGTGTATAATGAAACTTTCCTCTCCTACCGACTCACTGTGATTAGGCTATATGTCTTCCTGCACCACATCTTGCTGAGCCAACACTAACACTGCACTATGGGAGTCGTGATAAAAGCTGCTTCTCCTGTATCACGGCCTGACTACAGTGGAAAGAGGCTTTTACTGTAGGGACAAACTTGCATCATGTTGTAAGGCAAGATGGTTCCTAAAGGTCCTTATAACTTAACCTTGATTAGGTCTTAAGAGGTCCGGGCACAAGATGTTCCAGATGAGGAGAATTGATGCCCTAAACCAAAGGTCTGCTTTTAAATGCTTACATGAACTGAAGAACAAGATAATGAAGAGGCTGGCACTTCAACGGCACACTAAGGAAAATGGCCATTCATTGTGAAATGTTCTTAAAAGAATAATGCATAAGATGACACTTTACAAGAGGACACATTGTGGTGGATGTAGTAGACTGAATTAAAGTTCTCAGCAAACTGTGATTTTTGAAGATGATTCGTTATGTCTTTGCCATTTAGTGTATTTGCTTCCATGTGATTCATTGAAAGTGTAACATTTGTAGTGGAAGAAATCATTTAAAAAAATGTTGGAATAAACATTTGAGTATGGTTAGCCGTAACCCAAACTTCTGGATGTGCAGTTTTTTCTGTAATTTAAATTATTTAAAATCCTGAATTTCAAAAAGGTCACATTGAAAGCCTTTAAAATAGTTTGAATATAAATCACTTTGGACTGTAAGAAGCATGCCATATTGTGCATGGGGATATTGTTACAAAGAAACAGGAAACAATGTTCCCCAAACAGTTTCCAAACCCTTTCTGCTAAGAAAAATGTGATGTGCTGTTAAGCATTAAGATTTTCTCTGAAAGCATGCTCTTGCATTAAAGATGTCCCTTAATTTAGAACTAATGGGTCTAAACCACATCTGAAATATAGCCCCAAACCAAATGTACATGAAAGTCTGTACCTATACATACAGTAACATAAAAGTCACCATTGTCTTATCTAGCGTTACAGTTCTAGAGGAACACAATTTCGTTCACTGTGTACCAGTGTTGTAGTACTCTTAGATCTGTCTTGATCTCAAGATCGGTATCGAGACCAGTTTTGGATGGTTTCTGTTCCTTCTCGGACTCGAAAGCATTCTTACTTGGTCTTGTTTAGGTCTCAGACTGGGTGGGTTCAGGATTTTAAATCAAGACCAGTCAAGACCACCGCTGACAGGCTGTTTTTCAGGTCATTTCTGTGAGTAATTTTTCAGTGATATTTATGGTCTTGTCTCAGTCTTGCCCTGCCTTGGTCTTGTTCTGACTCGGTCTTGATCCCTAAATGTCTTGGTCTTGTCTTGGTCTTGGAGCACTCTGGTCTTGAGTATGTTTTGGCCTCTACTAGTGTGGTCTTGTCTGCAACACTACTGTGTCCTATGTTTTGTTGAAATGACAATTAAGAGAGCTTGAGTTGACTTGACTTGACAAAATGTAAAATGATCAATGCAGTCAAAGTAGACTACAGTACTTCAGCATCAAAGTATAGTGTAATATGAACAGTTGCAATCATCTGACTCCATAATACATATCAAGAAAATAAAGCAAAGGGTTTTGAGTGGTGAGTCAAGTGCTAGATTTCATAAATTGATGTAGTTTTCTTTCTGCCAAATATGACCCACTCTACCTCACTGTGAATTTAAGGACCCTACCTTGGTGGATCAAAGTGCAGGCACAACGGCAATTTCATCACATAGTTTTATTAAAGCTGGCTTAGAATAGATTATAATTCAGAAAAGAACGTTATAGAGACATGCATTTAAGTTAACAGGCAGAAGGTATCAAATGATTTCCATTACAAAGGCTCTGTAAACATACTTTATTGAAACTTCTCAGATTTAAACCAAAGCTGTCCATGTAGCCTCCTAGCTGACTCTTTCATCATAAAGGAGATTATACATTCTCAGACTCATTACACTTATGACGATGAAGAGCGTTATGGCACTCCTAAATTCACTTTCAACACCACTGCCTTATACTGTAGGAGGATGATTTGAATTTTAACCGCTTTATTTTGTTGCCTCTCTCCACTCTCAAGTTCTAAATTGCTTATTAATGTGACTATTTGTCTGTATTTGACCTGGCCATGTTGTTTCCTCTGTGCTCTGACCCTGATGCCCTGAACATTTTGGACAGGTTTGGGAAATGGCTTTTCAAAAAGCTGTGAAGAGTTCTCTTATTAATTTAGATTCTGTTCAGACTGTTTACAGACAGTCTGCAAGAAAAGGGGAGAATATTTGTCACTTAATCAATTATAGATGAGGTCTTTTTTTAGGGTGCAGTTTGTTTCACCTAGTAACAAAAAAAACATATTAATAACTGAGTCTTTTTTTAATTGTTTTTGGGTTTGTATCATGTCTTAATTTTCACTTATTATGCAGAATTCTTTGCACCGTATCCAAAGCCTTATGTCATCATTATATGAGCCATATTATTTAGTTGATGTTGAGGAGCACTGTTGTCAGTGTTCAATCCATAGTCTACGCTAATGTACCAAACAACCAGGGCTTGGATTTAATTAAACAGAGGATCTAAAGTGGATCTATAATTTTGGTGGATTTTTGTTCAAATGTGTGTAATGGGACACTGAAAAGCAGTAAAAATGTCCTACGTCGGGCATCCCAGTTTTAATTTATATACATTTAGGATATCTGAAAAATTGTTGTCATGTCACCTTGTCTTGTCATGTTTCCTACATTCTGCTTGTGCTTTTTAGGAGTAGAATCAGTTATATCTGAACCAGTTCGCTTGCACTCTTCCATCGCTATGTGGGGTTGCCTTAAAACTGCCTACCTTCTTTGGTCCAAACTAAAATGAACCATTCCGGACCAGAATCGGGAATTAGAAGGGGGAAATACTGCCAGCACTTCAATATAGTTTCCTCTATGTCTGATGATATAGCACGACCATTTTATGATTTAATTTAGTAGATATCTTACATATTGGTCCTTTAATCCCTGTATTGTAAAATTAGCTGGGAATTGGTTTAATGCCAACATTAGCTGTTGTTTAAAGGTAGCCAGTCGGGGATCAAGATGACATATTACTTACTGTAGGATTGTGGTCTTATGTTTATCATAAAGGTCACCATTAATTGTCTTTTTAGAAACGGATCCATTGTGAAACCATGAAGGCTTTTTGGTTTTCAGGTTTCCCTTCATTTATACAACTGAACAATTGGAACAAAGCAGAGTGACATAAAACAGAGCTTCCCACCCAGACAATGACAACAAGACAATGACAACAGATCAATGACGTTACTGAATGCTGTGAATCATTGACTCAGATTTAGCTTAGAAGTCCAGTGGAGGAATAAATAGACTTTTTTTTTTTACCTGTTAGTTCAGAACATGATTACCACTTGTTATTCATCACATTTAACATTTGAGAGTAGTAAAATGGTTTCAGTCTTCCAATTGTGCTTTTGTTCCGACTCCCCACCACAGCAGGACTTTTTTATCTATGAGCATCCATTCAGAGTGTCCCTGTGAGACTCCACTTTCATTCTGTTTTCACCACATGACATGGGGATGTGTTTTTCAAAAACCATCCGTGCCTAACATTCAAAGTACATTCTTCTCATCGGCTTGCAGTCTGTTTGCACATATAACAGCATAATCGTGTTTGCATAATCCCCTTGAACTTCCATACTGATGAAAGCTACATGTTTCTTAAATGATGGAAGGTTTCCTTTGAAGGTTTTAGTCAGAAAAAAAAATGCATTTATCATTGTTCACGGAGAATGCATGACGAATCTCCTCCACAGTTTCAGTACAATAGACACTTGAAATGGTGCCATTGCTGTGAGAGAAGTAAACATCACATTACATGTATGTGATGTAATATACCTATTAGGATCATTTAGCTGACAAAAGTGAGTTAATGAATACATTAATTGATAAAATAGTAAATAATGCAAGGATTGACAATTTCACTTCAATACAAGGTGATAGACTGAGACATTCACAGTTTGAACACAGAAAGTGAAGTACACCTGAAATACAAAGAGGAAACACTTGATGGCATGGAAATTGTTTATTACAATTTGGGAAAATGAAATTCAGCTTGACAAATGTATTGCGTAATAATGGAAAAGGATAAACGTTTGTTTACCATGTATTGAAAATGGGGGAAACCACATATTGAAAATGTCAAAGGAACAAAGGACACATCTCCAGAACACTGAAAATGAAAAAGCTTTTTTTTAGTTTTACTTATTTCTCTTTCCTTTAAACATTTAACTGTTTGTCTTTAAAGCAGTATGTAAATGAGTTGTACCTGCCTTTTTTCATGATCAGTTTTTTCCATTTCTGCTATTCCTAGTCTATTTTATGACTGCTCCTCTGATTCTTTTGACAAAACAGAAGCTGTTTGACAGTTTGTATAACGTATAACCAATTCTTTTCTAGCTCTCTTTTTCTTTTTCAAACTGTGTATGTTCAATTTGGTGGAAATTTTCTCCCCAGTCTGTGACGTCTTCCACCTCCAGCATTTCTTTTGAATAACACCACCTGACTTCTTCTCCGCTCCTCTACCGATTTTTGCTGCTTCTTTAAAGTAATTCTCACCTGCTATTTATTTCCCCCCGTTTTTTGACCTGCAGGTGTTGGGAGCTCAGTGCTGGTAATATAAAGTGGATCTACCAGGTTCCCATCCTGACAGCCATCGGGGTAAGTGTGTGAGTGTGACACAAAGCTTGAGATTTGCAGTAAACTTGTAAACCAAACTGGGATGAACAGGAAGCCAATGCTGAGAGGCCAGAATTGATGTTATAACACCAATTTGTCTTGTTTTCTTGAACCAGTGAGAGTCTAGCAGCAGCATTTTGGACCAAATGTAGGTGGTAATAGAAAGCAAGAGTAATACTTGTATATAGGGAATCACATAAGTCCAAACAGGACATAAAACCTGTGCTACCGTAGAAGGTCCGAAAGAAATGTGTCATTCTTGAAATGGTCTTTGGCCAAGGGAATCATTATTGAAAATCTTTCCTTACCCAGTCACCAGAACCCCTTACTTTCAAGCAGTTGTTCTCAGTTATGTGAAATTGGTTTATGATGCATACTATTTCACTTACAGAGTTGGGTGTGGCAAAAAGGACACTGTTTTTTGTTCATCATCATCAAGTTTAAAAAAAGCATGGTAAAAGCATGGTTTGACGATAAAAGCATGGTTTGACGAAAATAAGTTATCCTTAAATTTGAATAAAACTAAGTTTATGATTATTGCAAACCAAAAAAAGGATGAAAACGTTTTGTTGTCTATAGATGGAGTTAATATTGAAAGAGTGTCTGAATGTCGTTTTTTGGGTGTGATCATGGATGATAAGTTAACGTGGAAATCACATATAGCTCATGTTAAAAAAAAAAGTGTCCAAGAATATCTTTGTTTTAAACAAAGCAAAGTTTCTCTTGGATTGTAAGGTTATGCGGATTTTGTATTGTTCACTTATTTTAGTTATTGTGTTGAAGTGTGGGGTAACACTTACGTCACAAACATTAATCCGTTATTTATTTTACAGAAAAGAGCGGTAAGAATCGTTCATAAAGTCCACTATAGAGAGCACACCAATGGGCTGTTTTTAAGATCAGGTTTATTGAAACTGAAATATTTAGGTGAGTTACAGACACTTGTAGTTATGTTCAGAGCAAAGAGTAAAGTATTACCAGAAAGTTTACAAAAGATGTTTGTTTTTAGCTCAGAAGATGAAGAGCATAGAAGAAAATTTCAGTTTAAGCATCAGTTTGCGAGGACAACTTTAAAACAGAAGTGTATTTCTGTCATTGGAATTAAATTGTGGAATTCTTTAAATAATGATTTGAAGGGTTGTGTTCATATATTTCAGTTTAAGAAAATGTACAAGAACAAAGTTATCAGACGGTATGAAAGTGGCAGTTAGTGTGTTTTGTGTGTTTTTTCCTTCTACTTTCTGAGGAAGTAAAGACTGAATTGTCAGATTTGTTTTATGTTGGCATGATATTCATTCATTGATTGTAATTGGACAGACCATCCAGACATTTATTGTTTGCTTTTTGAGTAAGGGGGCAGGCAAAACAAGAATTATTCTTCTCCCTGCTCCCTCCTTTCCGTACATGGGATAAAGTGTGAATTGTTTTTTTTTCTCTTTGTCCTTTTCTGTTGTGTGCTTTGACATGTACGGAATAAATAAATAAATAAATAAAAGTTTAATGACGTTATTAAAGGTCCAGAAGTTGATATTGGCAAGGAAGGCAGAAGATTGGGTGAGACCAGGTGTTGAAGTTAGAAATCAACTGGGTCTGGTTCTAGAAAATGTCCTCAACCAAAGGTCCAGAACATCATAATGTCTAATTTGTGATACCATTCAGTGCCATTTGTTAAAGCAGCCTAGTAGTCTACATGTATAATGTATGTCAGGAGTCAAAAAACTGACTGTAAGATCAAATAAAGATCTATTTTAGTTTATTTCAGTGGTTTCACATTGTTTATTATATAGTTTAGGATTATGAAATAATAGAACTATTGGGGTGTTGATTGCGCCAGAATCAATTAGACCTACAAGAATATGTGTTGCAGCTGTGCAGGATCACAGTCTCAGTCAATCTGTTGGATTTTACTTCAGCAAATATAGGAAATATAGGACTGGCAGGGAATCTTGTCCATCTATGGTGCCCAGTGGATGAATCCCACTCACTCTATTTCAATCAGGAGAAGCTTAAGTTATAATGTACAATTGTTTAGTTAGGAAAAAATAAATATGAAATGTCTTTAGCTTAGACTCCATCATTGTGGATGTTAAAAATGGATGCAAAATGTTATACGTTTGACTTATTTTCAGGGACAAAAAGCACATTCTCATTAATGTGTATAAAACATGTTGTCTCTGAAACAGTCCAGCATGGCTGCTTTCATTATTATTTTTCTATGTGCATTGAAATACAAAAATAATAATGAAGATTCAATGAAAGGAAGTGGAGAAGGATGATAAATCATGTGAAATGTTAGCTGCTGAAGAGGAGCTTAGTATGTGTGATAAATGTTTTAAAGGAAATCTCCTTTGTCATGCCTGTCTTCTGGCTTTGGAAAACATAAGCCTCAATTTGCATCTTTGAAAAGACTTTGCTTTAGCCTCATTTAAGTCTTAGAGAAGAAATCCTGTAACTTGGCTGAAACAGCTTTTCATGGCACATAACATCACACAAGGTTCATTTGCGGTTTGTAAATGCCTCAAAAGTTATTGTTAGTTTATGTTATAAATCCTCCAGGATTATGAACTGGTTAAATCGGCACAGCAAATCTGTAGACTTTCTTTAATATGTTTAGTTTGTAAAAAGCCAGTCAACATGAGTTTTTTATTCTTCGTCTGCTGCTTAAAGTTTTCCATCCCTGTTGTTTTGTTCCAGCTCAACTTCATCCTGTTTGTGAACATCGTTCGAGTGTTGGCAACTAAAATCCGAGAGACAAACGCCGGGAGATACGACACGAGGAAACAGTACAGGTTTGTGCTCTGTTTCTTTAAAGCGAGCGGTTCACTCATGCTTGATTTTTAACCTGAATGGTGAGCTGTGATTGCATCTTTCAAATGGCAAATGGGCAAATCACACTGCATTCATTTCTGCTGTTAGGTGTCTCTGCTGTACAGTAGTTTACTGTAAGACTCAGTAGTTCACTCTACAGTGGCTTTATGAAAGGTATAGTTTGTTAATTGAAAAAGGGGAAAGGAAGATACTGTACGTATGCGAAAACTTAGACCAATGGCTGCCACGATAAGCCACCAGAGTTTCAGACGATGCTATCTCATTATTTCTGGTTTGATTATTATCATTAATTCTAATGGATTGGTCTAATTAAAAATGTATTCCACTGGTTAGTCGTTTCAGTTTTCCCTCTCTTTTACACTCAATCCCAAGATATTTAGTCCAGTGTCAGATGTCATTAATACATTTAAAAAACAGGTCATAATAGACTATAATTATATGCTTACATTATGTTGGGGTGGCACATGTTCGTCATTCAGGAGTTAATTGTGCATTGGAGACTTCATTCAGAGTAAATGTTGGTCCCCTGAGATATACATGTCTACATACACATACACACACACACACCACTCTCATAGAAAGATATAATGTCATATCACAAATATGTTATGCTCCCCGGTCGCTGCTGACATCAATGTGTCAGATAAAAATGTTTTAATTACAGTGTGTTTTTACAGCTGAATGTATGATGCAACTAAGCGAGATGAGAAAACCACTTATCAGAACAGATGGAAGTGATCTCGCGATGTAACCAGAAGCTATAACTGGAAGCTGATTGTAAGCCAATTACCGATGCATTTCACACAGATAGAGAAATCAAAGGGAGAGAAAGTCAAGAATAGGAATAAAGTAATATGTAAGGAATTCAGTGTTGGGAATTGACCCTCAACAAAATTCTTCTCAAGAAATACAAGTGGTGACAACGTGCCAAAATTGATATACTGTATATATTTTTTTTTATATTGATTCAACCTAAACTTCTTACACTTTGACTATGATACTAAAATAAGATATGCTTTTTTATCCCCAAATGGACATTTTTCTTGGACTCTGTCCTGCAGTTAAAAGAAAATTAAAAAACACATAAATGGATATCATAGAAAAACATGTGACAACTCCACATATACATAAAAAACACCTTCTTGAAGCACAGACTGACATATTACACTGCACAAATGAATGATTATAGTGGTTCAGCCTGGTCAGAGGGACCCTGAATCTTCTACCAAAGGGTAAAAGCTGAAACTCAGACTGAAGAATGTGGGTGGGGTCAGACATAATTGTTTTTGCCTACTCCACCAGCTTGCTAAAAGTGAGCCAAAAACTGCAGTTTATTTCAACTTTGGTTTATTCTCAAGGTTCTAGCCATCAACATACAACATACAAAAAATGAACTGTTGATATCTTATATTAGCCATTTCCAAAAATCTGTCTGCAGAGTTGATATGATCTTGTAGTAAATTTTTTCTTCAACATAACATCACTGAGCATGCATTTTATTTCAACTTGCTGGTTACACTGCTTGCACTCCAGTCTGTATGCAGAATTCATTCAGAAAGCTATTAAAACTCTCCTGAGCAAGCCCAATGTTAACAACTTTTGTACAGAGCCTTTACTTGATTATTATACAACCATATGTTCCCACCGAGCAGTCTGATTGGACGAGAGACATTCTATGATTGCACATATAGAGTACAACACTATAATAACTGTGACCTTTAACAGTATGTATCACTCCACCTCAGCCAGCTGTTCTGACTATAGTTAATTAACATCAAAGCAGACAGTGTTTGTCTTTATCAATCAATCTGACACCTCTGTATCACAGAACAGGCTATAATTCCACTGGTTGCACAGCCATTTCAAATATGCAAATAAATGTTAATAATACAGAGTAACCATTTAAACAAACAAGTAGCAGGAGCGCAGTGAGAGTGTTTGTGGTTGCTTGGCAACAGTCCAGTTTCAAATTGGCCTGTAGCCCCGGGTCTATGGAAGAATCACAGCAGTGCTGGTAGCAGACCCTCTCGGTGATATTGCCTTCATATCATTACTTAAATACCTAAATGAACAGATGGTATTTGCTATGTTATTAAGAAACTAAATTTCAAATGCCTGTGGAAATGTATAGATGTCACAGAGTATCACTGTCACTAATTACTGCATAAGCCCGCAGAGAAAAGCTGCACTTCTGTTCATTAAAGGGCAACAATTGAGTTAATGCATATAGAGAGTGAATGAATGAATGCATATAGACAGTATATGTTTCCTTCAGGTAAGTTTCAGCTCAGGATGCAGCTCTTGGTTGATGTGGTTTTCAAAATTAGACCAGTTGAGGATGGTCACCCTCCTTGTTTTCTGTTTCAAATATTTCCTGGACTCCACACAAGGAGATGCAGCTGGATAGAAAGCACTTCTGCTCCTCCCCAGGTGTAACTAAACAAACAAGGTGAGCTATAGTCATCATCTTAACTTCACAGGATATTTCATTCAGTCTGCAGACATACTGCAAAAAAAAAAAATAATTCAGGAGCAGGCCTTCAGGTTTCATAATTTCCTTGATCGCATGTTGCTGCTAGAAACTTCCAGATGGTCTTCATGAATTAAAATAAGGAAATGAAGCCCTCTCTTTTCTTGTCCTCAGGAGAGCTGGCAAAGCTTTAGCAGAAATTGTTCGATGAATGGAGCATTTCCATGGATGGTGAGATAGAGTGAAGCAGAACAGATAAATTACTGCAGCACATTATTAAGGTTTCTGCGTCATATCCGTCAAAGTCTTTTCTTCCTTATCAATCAGTCTTTTAACACGGCCACAGCCCAGACTGTTATGTGTGTACATCGCCTGCCTTCTTTAATAAATCTGCTTCTCTGTCATCCAGCTCTTTGTGTCTTCTGACCTTTTTTTCTCCGCTTTTAGCTTCTCCTTTCCTTGTTGTTGCCACAGTAAACAGGCTATGGCATCTTTCTGTAGATTGATTAATGATGAGGCAACTGTCTGTTCCTCAAAGCAGCTGCCTGCTGTTCAGATATAACAACTTTAAACGCTGTTATTCACCAATCAGATGAAGTATTCAACTATAAAATTGGATGCCTTTTAGTAAGACCCTGAGATATTTCACATCGAGGGACCAAAACCAGGTCTGAATTAAAGCACACATAGCAGCACACAACTTCTAAAATACTGGAGCTTTGGAAACACCTTTATTAAAGTTTGGTATTTTATGGCACCTCTTCAATTACACATGTAGATTCTGTCTGAAGTTTCCAAAATATTAAAAAAGTTGTCCCATTTCTATGTGATGGTGATTCACTTGCCCCTATTTCCCTCTATGTTTCCCACACATAGACCATACTTGGGAGGTCCGCCCAAGTAGCCTATAGAGCATGAGCGAGAGAGAGGTCCACTGTCCCTCGTCCATCCTGTTGATGCATTGTTTAATGTGCAAGGCTCCTGTCATGTCAAAAGCTTCTCATGCCTTGGTTTCAATATTTTATTTTGAAAATGCTTGCTGCCAATGTGATTCTGCTATCTCTTGGTTTTGCTGCATCGTGATAACAAGCCGCCCTAAATACAAGGAGGCTCGCCTGTTGTGATGAGTGAGACGCTAGAGAAACAAGAGTTTTGTTGGTGTTGAACGGAGTCCCTGAAGGCTCAGCGAAGAAAAAAATAAACAAGCCTTTTAAATCCGTACCCAGGCTTTACAAGTCAGTGCGCTTAGTGAGGTCCGAGCTTTGGGAATTGTTTCCATGTAGCATATCTCGCTCTCTTTCTATCTTTCTCACTGGTACGTGCATTCATTGGACCCGCAGGCAGGTGCGGGTGTGTCTGTCATCTGTCCACTCCTCTTAAAACAAGACAAAAACAAAAATTAATCACATTCTGCATTAATCTTTCGACGAACACTGAAAGAGATTTGAAAAAAGACTTTAAAAAAAGGACAAAAAGATTAGATCATAATTTTAAAGTTGTGCCGAAAAGGTACAAATTGGTGCATGAAAATAATTAGAATGAAGGAAAAGAAAAGTTTGGTGCTTTAAATCTTCTGTGGGAGACCCCCGGGCGCATGTAGAGAATCGTAATCTCAATTCTCAGGCAGAAGCAAGAATTGTGAAGCCCTTGTTGTTACACACTCTGTGAAAAATGCCAAACAATCAGCTAAAAAGTCATGAAAACCCTTCTGCATCTCAGTGTTCTGGTCTGAAGTTATCACATAGCTGGTGAAACAGAGTAAAGTCTCTGCAAATTTAAAATCTCTCTAGGACATGTTTAAAATGCTGAACTGTTTCTGTATCCAAGACAGAAGAGACTCTCTCATCTGTGGAAGAAATGTGAGCTAATGAAACAAAATAAAAAAACTGAATCAACCCAGGAAGCAAAAAATGAATGTTATGCTAATGTATCTTAAAATAGTAAACATTGTACCATTAAAAGGTATTTAAAGGAGATCAGGAGAGACTTCATTAAGAATGATCAATAACTTATTTAATAATTTAGGAAATAAATGTGCAAAGTCTTCGGGGATTATACTCCATCATGACGACTTCATGTACTCAGAGCGGTAATGAGGCCGGTAGCAGGATAGGATACCCCCCCTCTGGAGTCTAGACCCTGGTGGTGATGGAGGTATGGAGGATGTGATGAGGAGTGGGTTTCTGAGGCTGTATCTGAACTCTGCTGAGCTGGAATGGAGGTGACCGGGGCGGAGGAGGGTCGCAGCGATCGCACCGAAATGACAAACTGACCGGCTGACTTTTCAAATTTGACTGCGGCAGGATGATTGGTTGAGAGAGGATGTGGCAGAATCGGGTTGGATAATTACTTAAAGGGTAAACGCCCATAATCAGCTGATCGCCGGAGCAGGGAGACAGAGGAAGTGGTAGAGAGGGAGTGGCTAAGTTGAATGAAGAAAACTGAATAAATGTGGGAGAGAATATAACCAGTCTTCCTGCTTGAACTTACTCTGAGGTCCATGTTGGCGGGCATGATCGAAAGCATTACAGTACATCACAAAGAGACGTCATTTGACTTGACTATTAATTATATAAATATTCTCTAAATCAAGTGTCTCTGTATTATATGCTCATCATAGTCTTGTTAATAATTAGTCATATTCAAGTTGAAAAGTACTATTAGAATCATCTACAATCATAACTAGTGCATCCTGTCGTAGAGGTATATACAAACGTTTATAAATACATTTAAATTATAATGTGACTCGAGTTGCTGCCAAAATCTTTATCCAATGATCCAATTATTCTCAAATACAGACAGTAGTAGTGAGAGGTGAGAGGGAAATCTGAAGCAACATGGGCTCTGTTCTCTTTATGCATCTTCTGTGTGAGTGTGTGTGTTTGTGTGTATAACACTCTTTAGTGTTGATTGATGACAGGTTCATGATTGAGCAGCCAGCTCTCAGGACAAATAAAGGTCTAGAAAATAAGGCAGCTTATATGACATAGTAAGTACGTAGACTCTCAAAAAGTCAGGTTTCATAATAATTGCAGCCACAGGTAAATCGTGAAGGACATCAGCAGGAAGAGATATTTTTGACACAAACATGTTTTTCCTGAGTTTGAGGAGAGCAAAAGGAAAACTATACTGTCCACAAAATTGTAATCACTGCTGTTGTTAACAGTAGGTTTCCTGCCACACAGTATCATTTTCTCACAGTTTATGCCACTTTGCAAACACAGTAATTAAGTACTTATGTGTCTAAGAAACACACCAGGATGAGACTCATGGACAGCCTTTGAGGAAAGCTTTTTAATGACTGACGTTTGGATATTTTTTTTTTCAAAGTTGTGTTTTGGATGTATGACAGCAGAGACAAAGGCCTTTTTTCTATTGTGCAGCTCTGTGGAGCGGCACAGCAGGGTAAACTCAGAGTTGGCGTGCCCTCGTTATCTGGTGGCCAACGTTACACTGCACAGCTGCGTTCTTGGAAACAAGGTTAAGAAGCAAAAAGTTGGTGACTATTCGTTAACTGCTGCTTAGCCTGTGAGATAATGAGGCTTTCGTTACTGATTATGTAAGAGACTTTTTGCACTTTCAACAGCGCGAAAACACTACATACTTCAGCTGCATCAATGTTTAGTTCATAATAATGTATAGCTGAACATTGTACAATTGCATGCATATAACGAATAATTCTAAATGTCCCTGCAGTATAGGGCAGCGCCGAGCCTTGTACTGAAACTGCATGGGCAGTTTTACTTTCACAGTTCCATTGGACAGCCCGTCGCCTTCTTATTGGTCTTTATGTTACATGTGTGAGGGCTGCAACTCATTATGGAACTCCTGCTCAGCCTTTTGGGCACAGTCTTTTCTTCAGGTGTTTGATGCAAACATTCAGAACAGGCATGTATTTGTGCCATCAACCGGTGGCTCCATTAAGGCCTTGTGTCCAACTAGCGTTTTTTTCTGGGCAGAAAACCTCTGGCTGTGCGTTCCGAAATGCTAGCATTAACCGTTTGTGCGCTGAGAAGAAAACCGCCGCACATCCGTACTGTCTCTATGACAACAGTCTGTTAACAACGGCCACTGTATGGCCAACACTGCTCCGTTACTTCTTACTGTATGCTCTTCATTTGAGGTCATTTATTTCCCTTTCAGACACGGAGCAAAGAGGATGTGGGTACATGATATAATCTGTAAAGGCGGCAAAACTACAGGGAAGATCATACATTTGGACATGCGTGCTGGTGACGTCAACATTCTGAAAAGTTAAACGATTTTCAACTTGAGCGCTCAGAGCAGCCGCCAAAAAAAAAGTCCAGACAGACCCTTTGTGCTGTGAATGCTTTCTCCTCATTGAAAACAGTTTTAAAAAAAAAACGGCTTGGTGGACACGAGGCCTAACCTTGTGATGATTTTAAGTATGTAAAGTGTGGCTGTATCCTCAACTTCCAGTGATAAAGTATGTTCAGTCACTGTGTTTGGCAGTATGTATCTTTTCTCAAAACAATCTCAAACTAGGATTTGCATGAAAAATCAGTTATTTTGTCTGAGTAACGGCAGCAAACAATGTATTAGCTTCATATATAGAAATTTCTCCTTTTAACCCCCATACATGCAGTCCAAACAGTAGTTCCAACTCTACCTTGTGGTTCCTTTTGGAAACTGTCTGGAAACTATCATAAACCCTCTAGACATCTTGTCGTCACATATTGATTGAAAAATGCATTAGTAAGTTCCATTCAGTCTGCAGAGTCAGACTGACCTTGTAGCCTTTTCTTTCACATTTTCTGTTGAAAAACAATGAGCATGCAATTACTTCTCAAAAGGCTGGTTATAGAGTCCTGCTTACATTTCAGACTATATGCACTATTCATTCAGAAAGCCATTTAAGCATCCATGAGCACCTTATACAGTAGCAGATGACATCTGCACGCTTGTTTTATTGATCTTGCTGCTGCTCAGGTCAGACATCTTTAATCACCCTATCCCCCTGTTGAGTTCAAGAGCCAAAAATCCTTGTTCTTCTTCCACACCAAAGGCATTTGTCATATAAGTTTAGCCCTATATCCAGACAGCAGCCGTTTCTCCACAGGCCATGAAATGATCACATGTGAATGTAATTTCCAATTTGTAGAAAGATGATAACAGCAGCAATGCAGTGTTTTTACTACATGCAATAAGTAAGATAATAAGAACGTTTAATGTATTTTGAACGTACTCTTTCAAACTAAAAGCACTTTCTTTTCCATTTGTTAGCAGGTGGGACTGAACAGCTATTCACCTCTGCATGTGTATGTGTGTCTGTGTTTCTTCACAGGAAACTGGCAAAGTCCACCCTTGTGTTAGTTCTTATTTTCGGCATCCACTACATCATCTTTGTTGGGATGCCTCACACACTGCAGGGACTGAGCTGGGAAGTCCGCATGTACTGTGAACTCTTCTTCAACTCCTTTCAGGTACTACTTTTTTTCTGAGTGTCATTGTATTTGATGAAGGTAGATCATTATGCATTTTTTATTATCAGGTAGTAAAGTGATTTTCTCTTTTTTAACAAATGGGGAAAATGTGTTTTATACAATAATAGATGAACTTTTCCTTTTTGTTCCAACATGGGAACGCACAAATGATCATGGATCACAGCCTGTGGTCTCCAACTCATGCCTTTCACATTTCCATTTTCCTGCTGCGGGAACATCAATTATCTTCTATATATTACTCTGTCAGTGTCAAGTCAAGATTGCCCTTCATCATTAAGTCAAGCAGCTGGATAATGAGATTGATTCAGTTTCCCAATTCATCTTTGCGTATGTTTAAATGAGAATTTCATACTGTGCATGTGGGTGAGACCTTTCCCATTATCAAACTCCATTAGACTAACTCAAGCTTATGTTTCAATGTTACATAAAGAACATCTTTAAGAGTGTTGAGCACGTACTCTCCTTAAAGTTAGGAGCCATTAAAATTAGTTTATTATGAATTTCAAGAAGTAGAAGACGACATATTTATTAATGTTAGAGAGGAAACTCAATGTTTACACTGTTGATGAAGAAGCATGCACACACGCACATGTGCCACAAAAACGTTAATAAAACCCATTTCGACCAGAGAACTTTTTGAAAACTAAACCAACGTGTATATTTATTCACCAATAGGCTGATAGGCAGTTTGGTGGCAGGTGTGGTCAAACATTTAAAATGCCTCAAGGTGAAACAAACAACCTTTATATCCAAAAAAAACATCTTATAAAACATCAAAGACAAATCCATACAGCATAATGCTCAAAGTCTCTCTCTCTCTCTCTCTCTCTCTCTCTCTCTCTCTCTCTCTCTCTCTCTCTCTCTCTCTCTCTCTCTCTCCTCTGTCTACAATAAAAGCATAGAAATATCCAAAATATATTTGTCTGTAGAACATCCATGTTAAAAAACCATTTGTTCATTTTATCAAAAATGCATCAGAAAGAAAAATGAACCAATAAAAATAAAAAGGTCATTAGTCTAATCTTGTTGTAATCTTGTTTGTGGTAATTGTTCAATCAGCCATTGATGAGAATTATTTTTAATTACAACTATGGTGATGATGGGTGTTTGAACAAACACATACAAGTGGTTGTGAGCAGTGTTGGGCAAGTTACTTTAAAAAGGTAATTAGTTACTAGTTACTTCTCCCAAAAAGTAACTAAAGTAGTTACTGAGTAACAAATTATAAAAGTAACTAGTAACTTTGGAAAGTAACTATTGCGTTACTTTCAAGTAAATTTTTAAATGCTCAAACGTGTCAAAGAATTTGGACCCCACCTCCACCCCTCTTTAACAGAACTTAAAATACATGTGCATGTTCAATTATTTATGATCAATCTGAATATTATAATGAAATGGACACTTAATACAATCAATAATTAACAGAAACAGTGTACACAAATCTAAACTATTTTAATGTTGCTGTGGGACAAAGTGAGACTAGCCTCCAATCAATTGTCATGTATTATTGTAGATATTGTAGGATCCAATTTCTCAAATGTCTGTTTGAGCTCGACATTCATTTGAGTATGTTGGGCGTCTATATAGTTCGCGAACGTCTTTCTACATGGCAGGCCAACCCCTGCTCTGAATGATTCCGACTCAACCATCAATAATGGCAGCATATCCTCCACAACATACCTGGCTACCAGTTTGTTTAGCTCGGCCTGAGACAAAACTTGTGGTGGTGGTGGGGCCGTAAAATCAAGCTTCGGTTGCTTAGGTTTTGTGGCACTGTCTCCTAATTTCGTGGAAGCATGTAGCGTTGAAAAATGTTTCACGATTACACTCGTTCCTTTAATTTCTAAAGTAATGGCTATACTTCCATTTAAAGAAGGCTACTGTTGGATTATTTGGGCTCGCCATTCCTGTTTCCCGTTGACTCATCTGTGTTGTTGTGTGTCTGACTATGCATGCTTTCGAATTTGTGTAAACAACACCCGCCCAACTCTACCTCTGATTGGCTCACCTCAGCCAATCGTCATCATTTATGCGGTTGTCTCGTGTCCGCACTCACCAAAGAGGATAGAATATCTTTGCCGCTTGGCTTAGAGATCTAGTTGGTCTGATGAAAAACAGCTTCAGTCATAGTAACGCACCGCATTTTTTGGCAGTAACGGTAACAGCGCTATAATGATGGGAAGAGTAATCAATTAGATTACTCGGTACTGAAAAAAGTAATGTCGTTATTCCCATCACTGGTTGTGAGGGGATTCCTTAAAGCAACCTGGCAGTAAACCCGCTTAAAAGCAATGTACTGAAATGATCTCTAAATGCTCCTTTCTCATTATATTGTTATTTTATACCGTCCGTCATCTGCTGCAGACATTTAAAAAGAAAACATACAGCACATATCAAGAACATGGACGGACATAATGCAAGCTTGATCAATTGAAAGATAACACTTTATTTGAATGAATTACCTGCTGAAATATTTTAGTTGTTTTTTATTTGGCTTTTAGCTGACAATTTCCTTGTCTGACACCAACACAGAGGAAGCTGAAACATCCCTTAGAAATAAGCATCTAGGATTAGTCATTGTTCAGGAGGTCTTATTTACTTTTTTTGTCACATAGAGGCATCATTATTAATTTCAGTCTCTTCCATAAGCACTTAAAAACTCCTCACGGGAGCTTTCAGTAATCATGTGAAATAAGGAAGCAAGAACTAAAGGTGAGGAAGAGGTCTTTCTGGCCAAATGGGACTAATGGCTGCTGGGAGAAGTTTTTATCAGATTATGAAACAGACTCATGTCTCTCTGAGAGCTGAACAATTAAAATGAACTATCAGAAGTTCATTGAAGTCATTAAGGTATTCTAAATGTCTGTAAATGCTGTTGTGGCTTAGGTGTCAGAAGGAGGGATGAACAGCGAACTGAAGACACACCGCAAACATTCAAAGTGAATGATTTGATGGTCAGAAAACACTGCTTACACATGTACAGGGCAAGATTAGCAAAGAGATGGGGTGTAGGGGGGAATTGACACAAACTGGAAGTTCCTCACAGGAGCTTTGAAGGATGAAGGAAACTTTAGGGGGCACCCTGACACGGCGGGATAAAAGAAAATATTCAATGACATTGCTTAAGTGCAGCAGATTTTTACCTCCACTAACTTCTTCTTCTCTCAAAGTGCTGTGTCTGTTGAATATTACACTCATATAGCGCTGATTTGTTTTTACAGATGCACTGAAGGGAGCTTGGGGACCGCCCGTTGAAATATCCATCAATATAATGATGGAATTTCTTTTAGGAAACCATCTGAAAACTATTCATTATAAACAAATTGGATTTGTTTTCTGTACAGTATATATCAAAAATTGCATTGGGGACATTTTCTCAGGAACAAACTTAAATTAGGTGATATAAATGTTTCATTAAGCTTTTCCTGCGGGAGAAAAGCAGCAACAGAAAAAGTGTAATTTTGCAGTAATAGAGAAAACACTGCAAGAACACAAAACCTACTGTTTCTTTTGTTCTTATTTTGGGGCTTTTTTGCCTTTAATGGGAAGATAGGACAGTGGATAGAGAAGGAAATCAGGGGGGATGGCGTGCAGGAATGGAGCTACAGGAGCAACTTGGCCGCCTTGGAGGACATGGGGAGCTCACTAACCACTGCACATGCACTCCTCCTTACATGCTCATTCATTTTCTTGTAATCATCACCTGGTCACATCGATCCAATAGCCCTCCTCCACTCCCTCATTGTTAGCCGATCATATAGCTGCTGTCTTTTTTTAAATATGGCTTTCTCTTCCACCAGTTCATTCATGCTATTGTGACATGTGACCCTCCACCTCCCCATCACTACTAAGGCTGCGCCTTCCTCATCCCATCAGCCTGAGATGACATCATCAACCATCTTCTCAAGAACCCCAGACTTCACAGTTTGGTCAGCCTCTTCATCCCTTCAGCCTCAGACGACATCATCAGCTGTTCCTGTCTACCTCATGCACTCTTTAGTTTGATCAGCTATTCATCCCATCAGCTTCAAGTTACATCATCAACCATCTTCTCATCAATCCCAGACTTCACAGTTCAATCAGTTTCTTCATCCAATCAGCCTCAGATGACATCATCAGCTCACACCTCCATCCATCCCCAGTGTTTGGATTCCACAGGTGGATGGATCTTGTTGCCGACATCTTCAATCACCCTATCTCCCTGTAGGGGTCAAGAACCAAAAATGATTTTAACATGATTCAATTCCACATATTTAGAACATTTAATTATCTTTGATTCATTTACTTGTCTCTCCTGATTGAACCTGCATCATTGTTTAAAGATCAGGTCGAGCCAAATTTAAGGGTTGTAATCTAAAAAAACAAAAGCAACAGCTCTACTCTGCTTTCAGCAGTACTTGGTTATTTATCTGTTAACGGATGCAGAGCACGGAGAGATGAGAAACTAATCAAAAGATAACAATGTGACACCCACTCATCCAAGTGCACACTGGAGTTCAGACACAGACTTTAAAGGCACTTTTTCTTAATGTGAAGTATTACATAACTACCCCCCAAAGAAAAATTATTTTCATTCCAAGTTGAGGTTATTATTCAATAAAAAGAAGGATTACAAAATACAGTCAGTCTAGATATTCACATAAATCTTACATGCACCCCACACATTGGCACATAAGAATTAGATTTAGCTATGTTATGTGCAGACTTAGTCTTAAGCGTGGAGGCACACTCAGACATATCTGCTTTTACTCAGCTCTTCTTTTACATGGAAAGACACTAACAAGCGCAATTTACTGTGAAGGAGATTGGATGATGACATCTTAAAGCCCCTGGCTGAATTCTGTTATCAGTTTTGCGAGCAAAACAACATATTTTGACACTTGACAAGAATTTTGGAATCCCGAGATCATTTCCAGCAGACTTTTAGGAAGTTTGTGGCATTGCTGCAGCTGATATTCAATCAGTGATTTACCAGCTTCACACCAAAGGATTTCAAACATACTGTCTCTTGACTGAGTACATTATGCCGCTTTATTGTGCATTATTTTTTTTTTCAACAGCTGGGGACAACTACACAAAAAACACACTTGTGCAAATGTCTGCACATGACTCTTATGTATAAAAATGAATGAGTGGGGAAAATGTGTCTGCAGTTGAGCTCATGGGGGTTGAGAACGGACTTAACTGGCTTCGCTATAGTACGAGCGGACAGAGATGCGAGAGTGAGTGGAAAGTGCAAATGTGGGGGCCTGGCTCTGTTTGTGAACAACCGGTGGTGTAACCCTGGTCATATAACTGTGAAAGAAAAGCTGTGCTGTCAGGATGTTGAACTTTTGGCAGTTGGTCTCAGACCGTATTATGTACCAAAGGAATTCTTTCACATCGTCGCCATTGTTGTTTACATCCCACCACGAGCGGTTGCTATGGTGACATGTGACGTCATCCATGAAACCGTTGTAAGAATACAGACTCAACACCCAGATGCGTTCATCGCAATACTCTGAGATTTTAATCATGTCAACCTCAACTCCCATCTGACAGTTTGTTGACTGTCACTGTCAAGGGAAAATAAGACACTTGATCTGCTGTATGCTAACATCAAAGAAGTTGTTGTAGGATACAGGGAAGTTTATACAATCGTAGATATATGGATACAAGTTTCAGAAAAGTGCTGCACTGATGATCTGTACCGAAAACAAACAAAAAAGAAAAACGCCGGGTTGAGTCCTGCCAATGGTCTACAGTCACACATAACTTCTGCCGGACCCTTTCATGACGCAATCGTCAAGATTTTAAATTCTAAATATCAAACATGTTTGAAATAAATCGGGCATCCCGACGATCGCCGGGCAGATCGGTGACGTCAAGATTGGATCTTTGTACCACTCACACTACAAGATAATCTGAGCAGAGAATCGGCCCGATTATCCTACAGTGTGAGCCAGGCTTAAGTCTATAGAACGCAAAAGTTACGCTTCTCTGGAAAACATCATGTCTCGTACCGGTACCTAAAGTAGGCTGTCCAGACAAGATAAATGACTATAGGCCGGTGGCTCTTACTTCACACATCATGAAGACACTGGAACGGCTACTTCTTTGCGGTCTTGGACAACAGGTTGGAAATTCAATGGACCCTCTACAGTTTGCGTACCAGCAGCATATTGGAGTGGATGATACTCCCACTTATTATTGTTATGTCAGGAGTATGTTTTTTAATTTTTCGAGCGCTTTCAGCACCATCCATCCCCCTCTTCTAAGACACAAACTTGAGGGGATGGGGGTGGATTCCTCTCTCACTGCCTGGATCACAGATTACCTGACAGGACGACCACAGTTTATCAGGCTTGGGAACTGTGTCTCTGGTACGGTGGTTAGCAACACAGGGGCTCCTCAGGGGACTGTGCTAGCTCCATGCCTGTTCACTGTACACGGCTGACTTTAAACAAAAATCTGAATTCTGCCACATTCAGAAATACTCTGATGACACGGCTATTGTGGCGTGCATTAGGAATGGGCAGGAAGGTGAGTACAGGGACCTGATAACGGCCTTCAATGACTGGAGCGATAAGAATGGCCTCCTGCTTAACACTGCAAAAACGAAGGAGATGGTTTAGGACTTTTGCAGGTCCAAGTCCCCCTTTCAACCAGTTAACATAAGAGGGGAAGTCATTGAGGTGGTGCAAACCTATAAATACTTAGGTGTGCATCTGGAAAATAAACTTGACTGGACTGTGAACACAGACGCCGTCTACCAAAAGGGACAGAGCCGACTCTTTTTCTTTTGATGTGTGCAGTGAAATGTTGGAGATGTTCTATCAGTCAGTGGTGGAGAGTGTTCTTTTTTTATAGTGTGATCTGCTGGGGGAGCAACATGACTGACAAGAACACTAGGGGGCTTGACAAGCTGATAAAAAAGGCTGACTCAGTTTTAGGCAAGTGTAAGGACTTACTGAGGATTGAGGTGGAGAGACGGGTGTCAAAGAAAGGACAGAATATATTGGACAATGTTAGTCATCCTCTTCATGACACCATGGAGGTCAGAGAATTAACTGCAGTGGATGGCTAATTTCACTGCACTGCAGGATTGAGAGGTTCAGGGGAACCTTTGTCCCCCATAGCCATCAGGCTTTTTAACACACAGGCCAATGGTAGCAGCTCATGACTGGAGCTGTGGGTGGAACGTTACTGTATGCCTTTTTCTTGTTTCATAAGAAGCATTTAGGAATATAAAGACTTTTAGTATTTTAATCATCCATTAATATCCATGCAGTTTTAAATTAATATTGATGTTTTTTTTTCTCTGTTTGTTCTATTTTTTTCTAACTTGTGAGCTATTGGACACTCCTGAATTTCCCCCAGGGGATGAATAAAGTATCTATCTATACACTTTGAACCATTCAATGCTCACATTTTACAACCTCAGGTTCCAATTGCTCTCCATGGAATCCATGAATACTTGTTATATCTACTGAACATATAAACAATTCAAATTTAACAATTGTACTTTTGACATATGGGACTTAAAGTATACGTTTTCTTTTATAACCCCGCCCCCAAAAATAAATTTGACATAAACGACCAGCATAAAGAGAGTAAAGCTACAAACTTGTTCAAAGAAGAGAACACTGTTTATTTAAGCTTCTTGGAGAGACTCTTCCTGGTATTTTCTCACCAGCAAAGGTGTGCAGCAAGACACACACACACACACACACACACACACACACACACACACACACACACACACACACACACACACACACACACACACACACACACACACACACACACACACAACACACACACACCACACACACACACACACACACACACACACACACACACCACACACACACACACACACACACACACCACACACACACACACACACACACACACAACACACACACACACACACACACACACACACACACACACACACACACACACACACGTTCCCAGCATTTTGACGAAGGAAGCAGGAACACAGGGTGAACACACACACACACCACACACACACACACACACACACACACACACACACGTTCCCAGCATTTTGACGAAGGAAGCAGGAACACAGGGTGAAACAGGACGGAACAAAAACACCATCTTATGTTCCACGTGATAACAGCCATTTGAGGCGATTAAACGTCAGATATGAATCACAGTCATAAAATGTTATGATTGTCATGCTGAATATAACCCTCGCTCTCTCTAGACGTGGTCCCTCTTGTGTTCATACATTTACTGTCACTTTCTCTCCTTCAGGGTTTCTTTGTGTCCATCATCTACTGCTACTGCAACGGAGAGGTGAGTTTATTGTCCTCGTCTGAAAGGTATTGATCCTAAAAAAAGATGCTCAAACATCGCCAGACTAAATGCGATTAAAAAATAGCTGCAGACAAATACACCTTGGAATGGCTTCTAGTTCATCCTGACCATTGAACAAAAAGAAGAGCTAATTTGTTTGGCACGCGTAATTGCGAGGTAATAAGCGACATACTTAAGCCGTTAGTCATTTCCTGCCCTCTCAAATGAAAAAAGAGAAGGTGCTGTCATGATATCCGTCATTCGCTCCGTCTTCACTACCTCACACACTTTGCAATCAGCTCTTTTTATCTGGCAATCCAGATGAAAATAGCTAGATTTCATCATCAAAACCCTCTGGTCTCTTTTTTGTATTTTCCACTCTTGACTTTTGTTCTTCACCCTGCATCCTGTGGAGAACTCCTTTTTATCTTCTGAAGCCTTTCAATGCAACTTGATCCAAATGATTAATTTTTTAATTTACATTGGACCTATTGAGCCAACCAACACCCTATCATGGAGCTCTATTGAGTCTTAAGTCTCTACAGTATATGCACTGGCTCCACATATAGAGGGTAGCTGAAGGTGAGCTGCTGGGCGATAACTGTAGGCTGCATCATGATTGCAGTCTGTAAAAGCATTAAAAGGGGGACATGTCATTCTCTTAGATGACTCATATCTGCTCATTGTCCTCTAACTGACTGTTTTGTAAGCTCACTGAATAGAACAGAGGTCTTTGCACATCTATTTCTCTGTAAGTGGACAACAAATAAAGGTGAATAGAGCAACCCACACAGCAATAATTCAGACACATTAGCAACAACTAGAGTTTGTGCATTGCCCTAAGACCTCTGCCCAACCTCGCCCACGGGGAATGGAGCTGCCATGATAGCAAAGTTAAGGCTACTTTACCCTCAGCACCATCTCTCCACAATAGTTGTTATCAGTTGGTAGTTTCTCTTGTAATGGATTACGAGTGGGACTTGGGAGAGTGTATTTGCTTGACTATACAATGAAATTATCAACAGGTTTTCCACCACAGAGTGCTGAATATTGAAAATACACATGCTCGTGAATAACGTCTAAACACATTGGCTTGAATCAAACTAGAGCGTATGTTTATTTAATTCATTGACAATTACAGAACAATTAAATACAAACATCAAATCTTGAATGAAAAGGGGCAGAAAGAAGAATAATTGTATATAATCTGCCCCTCTCTCATAAGATATTCATTAACAAAACGTCCTTCCATCCATTTTCTTCCGCTTATCCGAGGCAGGCGTAGTAAGTCAGCCCAGACTTCCCTCTCCCCAGCAACGTTTTCCAGCTCCTCCTGGGGGATTCTAAGGCATTCCCAGGCTAGACGGGATATATAATCCCTCCAGCAAACTCTGGGTCTACCCCGGGTTCTCCTCCCAGTTGGACGTGCCCGGAAAACCTCTAAAGGGAGGCGTTCATGAGGCATCCTAATCAGATGCCCAAACCACCTCAACTGGCTCCATAGCATTTCTACTACAAGCTCCCCTCGAAACTCATTTTGGCCGCTTGTATCCGCGATCTTATTCTTTCGGTCACTACCCAAAGCTCATGACCATAGGTGAGGGTTGGAACGAAGATCGACCGGTAAATCGAGAGCTTTGCCTTCAGGCTCAGTGCAATTCATTTAATTCCATTCAAAGCAGATCATAAAATAATTTACGTGCAGCATCACAAAACAGAACTCCTCATGAACACATCATATTTCCTCTCCAAACTGGGTTTTATTATTCTTTTCAAAAAACAATGTTGGTTTGAGATTTTTTGGTTTCTCTGTTCAGATTGTTCCCTAAACTGATACCTGTCAGAAAGACAACTTTTCCTCTATTTGGTTCTGAATCTGTCTTTTTGAAGATCTCTGTTTTTTTTTAAAGTTATTATAGCATTCTTTTTTTTCAAATATTTTCTGGATGGCACTAAGGGAACACTACTTCCAAATCATGCTAGTTTTGGAGAATTATCAACCCTGCCTTTAACTGAACAAACAACGGGTTTGATGTGTCTTTATATCGAACTCTACTGATGGTTCTTATCGCTCTTTTTTGTAAATCATTTTGGATTCATACTGTAGATAAAAAACTTGAATCCAGTAGATGATTTTATTGTTTTCTGAATACTAATAGGTAATTGTTTGCCTTTATATTTATATTCTAAATGGCTAAAATACAGCTTCCTTAGAAATACTCAGAGTACAGTATTAAGAAATGGAAACAAAAATAATCAGATTCAATCAGCACTTTGAAACCCAAATCATAAAAACAGATAGATCTCTTACTATTTAAAGCGTATATCCTTTACCTCCCCACAGGTACAGGCAGAGATAAAGAAAACATGGACCCGCTGGAACCTGGCCTTTGAGTGGGAGGGCCCGGTGGTATGTGGCCGCTACCGTTACAGCAATGTGGTGGTCGGCCTCAACAACAACAGCACCAGCAGCCACTCCCACCTGGCAGGGGCTGGACCTTCCACACGTTCAACCACTCTCGTTTCGAGTCATGTTTACCGGAGCACGGGTCCTGTGATCAGCATGCACGCCACACTCCCAGGATATGTGATCAGTAACTCAGACGCTTCCATACGTGAGGAACCTGAGGACAGCGGGCCCAAAATGGTGGACGATATCTCGCTAAAGGAAAATCTGCCTGTTTTTAATACAAGTGCAACAGCCGAGGATGAGGAGGAAACATTGTAGCATTGGTCAGAGGTCTAAGCATGCGGTATGGACTGATGAAACTGAAGGTAGAACTTTGCCAACACATTCCAGTCGCGTAATTCAAAGTCCAAACAGGGTATCGAGGTAAACGTTGACTTTATACGCCAGTGATTCCAAAAGTGGGGCGTGGTGTTATCTACCATTCTACTCTACTTGCAAAGCATGACTATTATATTTAGAGGGCCTTCAGGTAACATAAGGATATGAATCTAAACGTCACAACTGCTTAAACAAAGACAAGAAAGTATGACGAGTCACATCGGAACTTCGACTGTACAATGTTGGAAAACAAAAAGATACCACAGTGTTCGTTGTTCCTCAGAGTATTAGCTTCTGACAGCATGAAGCCGAAACAAATAGGACTCCACTTGGAGACATTACATCCTGCACACAAAGAGAAGCCTGTCCATTTCTTCATAAATTATTGCAGGAGTGGACTTGAAATATAACTCTTGTGTGGAATTTCCTAAAAGGAGTTGTTCATCTTAAGAGAGTCAGGTTTAAAAATAAAAAAAAAGAATCTGTTCCAAACAATGGCTGGTGTTACATCTTCAAAAAAATTCATTTTACAGTAACACTTTTAATTGCTCCCTCTTGAGAAGTGGTCTGTTTGGCGTTTCAGTTTCCTGTCAATGATTGTTGTTTTGTACTTTTTGCAGTCGATGTTCAAGTGAATTTTAAAAATATTTATTTATTTTTTTAAATCAAAGAGTGTGACTGGCAGTGTGATTAGTGTATATTGATTTATGTTTCGATGTGTAGGGTGAAGGGTGGGGGGGGTGAGGGGGGATGGAACAGAAAATGTTTGGGAACCACTGGTTTATGCAATTAATAAATGAATGAATCCCACAAAAAAAAAGAAAAAACTTATAAATATTTTATGTAAGCATGGTGAGATGATAAGGAGCTGAATACTATATAGCACATTTTTTCTCCATGCCATCAGGACTGTTTTGACACTACAACCTTACAAATTCTCAATAAATCTATAAATATTTTTCAGTGTTGGTACTTTGAGTGAGCTATGGCTGTGCAGACCCTCCTACTGAAGACAATCATTTATCACCTTTAGAAGCGTACAAATAGAACAGAAATGTAAAAAAATGTCTTAACAGGACACAAAGCTGCTTATTTTTCTCAGGGAGGGCGATGTCATCGTGCATTTTCACTGGTTGTAGTTCAGCTTGACACTTCATAATGAGAGTGTACTATAACTGAAGATAATAATAAGCCACAGTAAGAGAAACAACAAGACAGAAACATCAGAGAAATATGACATTGAAATACAAAAACCAAGGTCAACCACCGTAAAGACTACAGCAAGTGGAGCTGTACAGTAGCTGAAGAAACCTCATCTATATGTATTGTTTATGTGAACAAATGTTCATGATTGGAATCCTACCGTATGATTAAATACATTCACAGAAATGACTATTCATGAGGACTATTCAATTTTCTACACAAATCCAAAAGCTCCATAAAACATATTGATCACTTTTCAAGATATGTATGGCTGTTGGCCTTTTTCCCACCTTCAACCGATAGCACCTGTGGATCAGTTTACTCACAATGTTTACTGCTTACAAAGAAAGACGAGCATTGTCTCCGTCAGTAGCACACACTTCTTCTTTGGCACATCAGTTGTTTTATTAAGACTAATGAATGTGTTTTGTTTATTTGCAATTCCCTGATGTGCTGAATGTTGAGGGCTACATATGAAGGATGTTCAATGATTGTGTGTCTGCTGTTTGTCTGTGCATTAAATTCAGTGTTTGTCACAAAGAAATAATCGTTATTGGTACCTGTGCCTCTTCTGCTACAGCAGAAACTCTCAATGAATTTGGTTGTCTCTTTCTGGGAAACCTGTATCTGTCTTCTTTACCCCCCAACACCTACACATACACACACACACACACACACCTTCTCCACCTGGTAATCATTGTTTTAGTCTTTGAACTTCCATTAGTCAGCCAATAGGATGTGCAGGAATCAGTTTTTATTTTGCCTTTGATGTGAATGACATGCGATTCAAAAAGGCCCTCCGGACAACCTAAATCAAAAGATAACAAACAGCGTGTTCTAAACGAAGGAAGAGTTTCATTCGCTTACTGTCTAACCTGAAGTTTGACAGATTAGTATAAATCCTGTCTCTGTGTTCAGTTAAGTTACCTGGGTAGGGACAAGTAAGCCTAGTGAGAAGGATGGAGATTGGGAAAGGGGGCTGTGCATCATCCCTGTCACTCTAAAATGTCTTGTTTATTACAAAAGTTAACTGTTGATATGATCTATGAAGTGTGTCCAAGCTAAGATGAGGAAGCTGACAGATGCTTGTTTGAATATTTGAGGGTGTGTGAAGCTGCTTGGGGACTCCTTATGTCTTGTGATCAGTCGTCAGGCCCAGAGTTGTTTATCCAGACTGAAGCTCATGAGAGGGCGTGCTGTTCTGAGTAATAACACGGCTGTGGTTTAATAATAGGCACAAGGCAGTAGGTCTAGTATTACACTGATAAAGTCACAGATGTGCTTAAAAAAGAGGGGCATATAACTAGAATATTTTGATCCAGAAATTCCCAGATAACTGATGTATTGCAAGACAATCATTGATTGATACATCACAATAGCTGATTGACTGAAGACTATAAAATGCCCCTCATAAGGTAATGTGCAGGATTATTGTTTCTTCTCTGGTTATTTGGTGTCAGTTTTAACACTCATCACAGCTTCATCTCTTAACTTTTTATCGCCGATGTTTTCTTCTTCTTCTTCTTCTACTACAACTATCCAGCTGTCAACTTCTCCATTGGCCAATTAACCTGTGTTCACACTCCCCTGTTCATGTCACAAGAGCCACCACCAAGAAGAAGCGATGCTGTCAGTTAAATTGGCAAGGGGAATCTGTTTAGAGCGCCATATTTTATTCGATTAAAGAGCGTCACCAGCAGTTTGATCATTGTATCACACTAGTCAGGACGACGATATAACAACATGATGTCCCATCCTTATATTGACATTCAATGTAATTACTGTGTTAATTAGATGAATTTCTTTGCTTTGCCTAAGAGATTAAATTGTCAACTTGTCAGAAACTTGACTGTCACCAAGAAACGCAAACATTTTAATGCACAGTGTTAACATGTTGGCATCAGATGTTGCATCCTATGCTGCAACCATTGACATAAACTGGCACAGCATGTGTGACTGATTAAGTGTGGGCTGTACAGTTAATTTACAGTTTCCATAGCACCAGATGTGGAGTGAATCATCGTAACATAATCAAAATACCAAAGATCAGCATTCATGCAATTCCTCCCCAGTGTTGGGACTACCGTGTAAAGCGTTACTGTAACACATCTATTTGGCAACTAGTAACAAATGAGTTACTTTCCAGATTCAATAACGCTGTTACAATTACGGACATTTAAGAGCACTCGACACTAAATGTGAAACAGCCCGACAACGAGCGTGCAAGGTTAAACTAACGGCAGCACAGTAGCATTCTGGGAGAAAGAACATTTCACACTGTGAAACAAACATAGGCAGGGGGTTCATTCCGACGTGAGCTTTCTGCCTTGGATATACTGACATTATTTCACCCTGCTCGAGTTAATCAACAAGAATATAGCAGTGAGCTGTAGTCTGTGTACAGGAAGGAAAACTTCTCTCTCTCAAGCCCGATGCTGCAGACGCCAGAGACCTGGGTGCAGCTCACACGTTATAGCTCTGCAGACCAAGGAGGAGACACTCCACCCACTCCACCCAGCTGGCTTGATTTAAAACACCACCTGCTCAAGGATCAAAAAGCCAGACTATAGACTGATAAGACAGGTATGTTGTCTGCAAGTCAAATCAACTGCTGAGTCTGTTGCCTTCAGAGCTTTAATTGATAAAATACCTACAGAACAATTTAGAAACAACTACATGGTTATTTGAGATGTACGACTTCTCAGAGCACAATTTTGCCACAGCAACAGTAAATAATGTCAACATTAGTATGAGGATTGAAGCAGTAAGTTACCAGTAACTTCATTAGTAACTCATACTTTTTCATAGTAATAACTCGTAACTATATATTAATTTTCAATATTTTGCCCAACACTGGTCTGTACAGTTAATTTATAGAATACAACTACAAGTGTTGTCAAACCAAATCCTAATTCTTGTTTGTTTGACTGAACTGTCTATTTATTTGTTGGATGATTTATTTTCTGTTCAAACCCATGCCATTGTTCCGGTCAAACAGCTGTGAGGGACATACTCAGATGATTGCCTCTCGGTGAGACGATCATCTCTGTGCAGGGTTAGATGTGTGTGATGCTAGTTGACACTGATTGGGGTCAGGTGTGTGAAATATATATATATATTACTTTCTTTCATTTCTCTGTGCTGACTCATTATCTCACCATCAGAGATAGTGAGAGGTTCTTTCAGGTTGTTCTCATGTTGTTAAAAAAGTGTGAGAGTCAAAGTAAAAGACCCTCTAAAACTTCTCTGTTTACTTGGATGAAGTTTACCAGTTGCTGTTCAGTTGCAGTTTGCTGGAGCTGGGTGTTTTATGTCTTTATTTGATAGGGCAGTGGATAGAGTAGAAATCAGAGCGATCGAGTGGGGAATAACGTGGTTACCCGCTCTGAGGACTATAGCCTTATAGGCGCGACCTTACCGCTAAGCCATCTTTGCCCCTGGTGCTGGGTGTTTCTAACCCAGTTTTCTAAATATAATTTAAGGACTGTTTCCTTGGTCTCCTCAGGAGTTTAATTTCTAGTCAGCTACATGGCAGCAGTGGTTCACATTTCTCTTTATTTAAACTCTAGCAAGAAAGGGAGCTTATTTGTGGTTGGCTCGTTACTGTTGTGTTTTTGCCTTTTCCCCCTTAAAGGATGAATATGTGTGTACTCTACTGAAATTAATATAAAACGACCTTACTATATTATCAGACATTAAGGCACTGGCCTCTCTAACAACAATGCAGCAGCCAGTATGTCCTACTAAGTTTTGATTCTTGTACGGAATGGTCTGTTTTAAGGCCCCCCTGCATGGCCGTTTTGGACGCCCCTCGGTTTGCCAGGCAAATGGCAAACCAACAGGTGTTGCAGCAATGGAAGTGGACAAGTGAACTGGTTCAGATAGAAGTGATTCTTTCCGACCTAAAAAACCTTGGCATGTTTCTAATAAGCTCCAGGAGCAGAACCGTGGTAAAACTTGAATATTTGAGATGCTTTTGAAAAATGGAGAGGGGGCCGATGCAGAGCTGGTTAAACACTGAAGCTTCAGTGTCCATGACATGTCAGCCAAGGACTGCACAAGGACTCTAGAGAGGAGGGGTCGGGGGGAGACGGCTCTCTAATGTTTTGAACTTGTGCTGCAGTACCCATTTTAAATGTCACGTTTCAGAGTTACATATTGCTCCTTTGACCTTCACTATTGTCATGCTGCTCCCTCCAGGTCTGATGAACATTTCTTATTTTTATTATTAATTATTGTCAGATTAAAAGAGGCAAAGGTTTGAGTGACCTGTTTGTATGTGTGTGCACATCCTGGTTGTCCATTGCTCCAGGATGTTCTAATGGCCTCCCCATCTCTCTCCCTTTCCCTTTTTCAAGAACACACTCCACCTCCCTTGCGGATTGTCAGCTCTTGATAATTAATGAGTCCTGCTTTAAAGCAGAGCATGCACACGAAAGCAAACAT